CTCATGAATACAGATTCCGTCCAACAACCTGTCAATGGCGCGCGACGCCAGCGCCTCTGGTGGCGGATTTTGGAAGTTTTGAGACCGAATCCCCATAAGACATCTACTGATGTCGTATCTGTTTTTATATCTACACATATATTTTTCTGAATTTTATGATCCTTAAATTACCACCCTTTTCCCCTAACCTTCAATTTGTGTTACTCCGTCAATGATGGCTCTCTGAATATTTCGTCAAGTAGATTGACTCACTACTTATGGCGCATTGATGTACAACAGACACTGACTGACAAGCCGATATAAATGAGAAACACGGACGGCATGATGTAGATATCTTTGAGCAACAGAAAGCATGTAAACCGATGCTCGAATGTTGTCGAGGGGTAAATGCTTCCGTCGCGTAAGTAGTCGGATATTTTTAAAATTTATTCGGAGGCGGCGGAAATAAATTCGCTGGAACATGCTATTTCAGAGATTTCTGTCCATTTTCAGACTTTATTTGGAGGGGATGAAAATTGTAGGTAGGAAGCTGTTTGCGATATATGATTCTTAATGAGTGAGAGACCTTCTGTTTTAAGATCTCAGTTGTACTATGCACCTGTTAGACATGATAAGTCACAGATATTTTCCTCACATCTGGCAAGGAAACAGAAATATGATTTGCATTATACGAGGGATGTCTTTCAAGTTTTGCATATGGAAATAAAGCAATACGGTAGGTAGTTTCAAATGACTTTATTGTTTTTCGAAGTATTCTCCACGAAATTTCTCCACCAGTTTCCGAAGCACTTATTCCACTCGTTTGCTGGCAGATCCAAAACGGCATTTTTGAACTGCTTCTTCTGGCGACTGGAACCTTTGACCAAGTAGTCTGTTTTTAATTTCCGGGAAAGTACAGAAATCGTTTGGACTTAGATCGGTACTATATGGAGGATGGTCCAATAATTCCACGTTTTCTTCCGATAAATACTGCCTTGTTCTTTGGGCTGTGTGCGAGCTTGCATTGTCTCTTCAGTCAACAGGTGAGGTGACCAACGAGAAACTAATTTTCTTACTCCTAATTCTTCATGTAAAATTTTTTGAATTGAGGTCTTTGAGATCTTCAAGGACGCCCCAATCTCGCGATATGTCACATGTCTATCTTCAATGATGAATTTGCGCACAGCATCGACGTTTTCCTGGGTGACTGCCGTTTTTGATGCAGCCACATTGGGATCGTCGCTAAGTCTCACCCGTCCACGTTTGGATTCTCCATACCAACGGGAAATTGTCGACTGATGTGGCGCTAGTTTGTCGAAAACAGACAGTAACTCAGACATTCTTGTTGCGATAGTTGTCTCTGAAAGTTGTAATAAATTATGGCGCGAACATGTTCTCGGTTGAGTTCCATTTATCTAATGACTTGTTGACACATAAAAAAATTCACTGTAGTGAGAACACTGCACGTATTGTTGTGGAACTTTGAATTTAAGTTTACTAAAGAGTGAGGTTAAAATTCAGTACTGACGTTCGATCCGCGCGGCCTACTATGTTTCTATATACAAAACTTAAAAGACATCCCTCGTATAGATCGATATGCAGATGACGTGGATTCATCGACATTGAGTGAAATTACCTAATCACGATCTGATTTCGAATTTTGAAATAATTTAACTCATCCCTTTTCTTAGAAACCCCGAACAAAGAGAGTCAATCTACATGACGCTATTTTTCTTAAAGCAAAATAATCATTTGTTTTCAATAATAATAATTATGATTATAAGCTTTAGAGTTGTTATGATTTTCTACATAATCATTCCAGTTGATGCTTTCAGGAGCTGTGTCAGCTTCTGTCATACCAGCTCTCCACAATCTTCTTACGGAAACACTCATTCCTTGAGGATTCAAACAACCCGTTGACCATAAATGATCGAAAACAGCGTTTATGATGGCCATTAAAAATAAATAAATACCAAAAAGTCTCGTAAACGCTATGCTTGCCTACATGGGGAATATGTTGGAGGTACTCTTTCCTCGATCTTTACTTTCCCTCCAAGACGGAAATTTGCTTTTTACTTAGGGGGGTCATTGGAAATTTAGTTGCCTTTACTCTTGCCTCGATCTTTACTTTTTAATCAACTGCAATGGAATCTCCACCCTCCAAGACGGAAATTTGCTTTTTACTTAGGGGGTCATTGGAAATTTAGTTGCCTTCCTAGGGGTGCGCGGCTGGACTACGCCGAACATTTCTCAGGCTATTGATGAAAATGGACTGCAATTGTGGCTAAAATATTACTGGAAATTGGTTATCTATAGGAACATTTGACCCTTTGGAGAATACTGTTTATAAGACACCTCTTATACGTCCAGATCATCATAATTCAATCATGTTAATTTTTTCAAAGTTGTCGGTTTTAATTCAGAACCAAAATCCTAAATTACCTACCGCCCCTTCTACTGATTTATTACGATATAGAAAATGCACTGAATCACACGGTCCTGCAATAAAGAGTCGTTAGGAGATTAGAAAAATTGCTGTTAGTGCCTGATATGAATTTATTTATCGCACGTTACAGCTACGATTCAGTGTAAACAAAGATACATTTGGCCATTACGTTTATCTCGAGCGCAATAACAGGTAGTCATCACTTTCGGTATTTTTTGATATGGCGATTTTGGTTGTGGTCATGCACAAAAGATCGCAGACAATTCTGGAAGCCTGAAATATAACTATACTAAATACTCAAATATATTCAGGTGTAGGATGGTTTTAAAACATTTTATTTCGGCAGAATATCAATAATTTGTCTATAAAAAGCGTCTTTTGATTATCGTGCCTTTTTCACAAGTTTTTTTTTCTATTAACGAGAAGAAACAAAAGTTGCCCTTCAGAGTTCAAATGTAAAATTTCTTTCCAGAATTAAGGCGTAATAAATTATAGCTTTCGCACGTGTATGCGTGGAACAAATCTTGGAACTGCATTTCGAACCAGTTGACCTTAATTGAGCTTTGGTTCGTGTGACAATACGAAATCAATTAACTGCAGACATTTTGAATCCAATATGGCGCTTCGTCATTTTCATAGTAAGCGCTATGCCACCATAAAATGGCGATTTGCATTTGTCACAGTCACTCGTATGACATGGGCTTAAAATGAAAGGCCTTATGAGAGAAACACAATAAGCAAAGTGACGGTATATAAAATTCACTATGGCGATTTACTCTGTATAAAATTCGGATGAGACCGAGCATGGTGTATCGCTCGCATGTTTGAGATCATCGCGTATGAAACGGTTTACTGCTCGGTCAGGGGTGCAGTCTCTATTAATCAGCATGGGTTTATGAGAAGCAGATCTACGGTCACCAACTTGGCTCTGATTACTCAGTACATTTCTGAAGTACTGGACGGTCAGGGACAAGTTGATGTCATCTACACAGATATTCAGAAGGCGTTTGATCAAGTTGATCATTATGCACTTCTGGATAAGCTTAAAACAGTGGGTATGTCTGATGCAATGATGTCGCTCATGAATTCATATTTGAGGGATAGAAGGTTATTTGTCGAATATGGTGGTCATAGGTCGAGTTACTATCGGGCCACGTCTGGGGTACCTCAAGGGTCAACTCTAGGTCCACTATTGTTTTTAATATTTATTAATGACTTGTCTTTTGAACTGAAGTGTTTCCATTTGTTTTTCGCTGATGACCTTAAAATCTGCACGTCAGTCAAGACAGTCGAGGATTGCGTCATGTTGCAAGATGACTTAGCTCTAATTTCGTCATGGTGTTCACGAAACTGTCTCAGTCTGAATGTTTCGAAATGTAAAGTTATGACTTATACAAGAAAAGTTAACTATTTAATTTATGATAATTATAACATCAATGGTCAGGTTATAGACAGATGCACCTCTTATAGAGACCTTGGAGTCATTTTTGATACCAAGCTAACGTTTACTGAGCATATACTCAATATCTCGTCGGCTGCCACTCGACTACTTGGTTTCTGTATCAGAAACTGGAAGGGTTTTTCCAATGTTGATACATTAATGACTTTATTTTTTACTTTTGTCAACAGCAAGTTGGAGTATGCGACTCTGATCTGGTCTCCCATATACCAAAATTCTTTCGTGATCCTTGAGGCCATTCAACGTAAAGCTTTAAAGTATTTTCACCTTGAATGCACAGGTCCTTATCCAGAAAGAGGTTGTGACCATAGTGCCCTAAAATTGACTGTCAAAATTTACTTGAAAAAATATGTTTCCGCGTTCCACGGCTAGGGAGTCGACAACAAACGGCATTCTATTGTCAAGCTGGCCGTACAAATGTTATGACAAAATCTCCAATTAATCTCATGTGCTGCGGCATGAACAGTGTTACTGAATCGTGTGATATTTACAGTGACAGTTGTGCATCGATTATTAACTGCTATAGATCATCCAATCTTATTTAGAATGTGTGATACTATAGATTAAAGTCCAAAAACCATGTCTCTTTAATTGTTATTTTTTTCAGCGTTTCCAGTTGGAAATAAATGAATAAATAAATAAATAAATGTTTGGGCATTTGCTGCATTTTGCTAGCTATATACCAAAGAACCACGCTCATCTTAGGCCTGTTGCAGCCCTTTTGGCTTGCTTGATGAACCTCCCAGACTTTGCCCTTTTAAACAAAATTCAACATTTTTCAAATAAGTTGAGGAGTACGGCACTTGTTAGGAGACATACTTTCATTAAAAATTAATTAATAGTATAAATAAATATTTATTTTTCCTCAGTTGCATTTCTTAAAAATGTACTTGTTTCAATATAAATTAGAATTCATAAACCTCCTCTGGAATACCCTGTAGGTAGGCACAGCAGACTCAAAATCAGTTTTCGTAGCTGCTTTGAGTACCTACAAAAAATATCCAAAAACCTAAAAAAAAAAAAAACAATTCGCACATCCTATCATGCATAAGTCCATCACATTTGCATGCACATGTCAGCAAATAATGGAACTTCCGAGGTGGTACGCGCAGTATAGTACCGACTACCATCCTGGCAACGACGTTGACAACGAGTTCTGAGATCATGGACGCCAATCTGCTCAAGGTACTTGAGGTTCGCCTAAGAAGAATCGTTTTGGAATGCTACGAAATCGCATTCGCGCTGTGCAACATGGACATGGACGAGTTTGGTGCTGCAAAGGTAAACACGTTAGGCAAACTTGGCGGAGCCTTCTGTGGCGAATAAATTCAAAGTTATTATATTTTCCTAAAAATGTAAGGTCCCTTATTAAAAATAATTTAAACATTGCTATTCAGATAAAAGAATCAGTTAGAAACTTAGGTTTGTTTATAGAAGATAATCTCAAATTTATTTCTCATGCAAATAATGTAACTCTTACGGCAAATGTACTTAAATAAAGAAATACTTGATTTTAGATAAAAAAAATTATGTAAATCTTTAATAACAGATACCGAATATCACCTACTGTGAGTTAGTACACTGTCTATTTCCAGAGTCAGTTGCAGCTAAATGTCTACAAAAAATTCAAAATTCATGTTGTAGATTGATTTTCAGCTTAAGAAAATGTGATCGTATTAGTGGAAGTTTCGAACAGCTGAACTGGTTGAATGTTGCAAAATTGTATACATTTCATTTATTATGCTATATTCATAACCTCCTACGTACTTCGATTCCGGCGTTTCCGAAAAATAAATTGATATATCGTGGAAATATCCGTTCAAGAGATATTCGATTGACTGACACTTTAACTATGCCTCTTCACGAAACTGTTTTTTTCCATAAATTAGATCAATCTATATAATGCATTACCATCGACTGCTAAACATCGTGGTTTCAATGATTTCAAAAAGGGAAATTAACCAAATTATCTTTGATGCTAAAACCTATAACTCGTACATAGTTCAGCTATATTTCTGCATTGGTAAGTCGTTTGTAGTTTTCTTTGTACACTCATATGTACGTTGTACTCCAAGGGTTAAGTGGTATGCTAGCTTGTACCTAATCTTCACCTGAAATAAAAGTCGTTAATTATTATTATTTTTATTTGAAGAAAAACTGATGAAAATTTTTCAAAATTTCCTAATTAAACAGCGATTATGAAAACGCACAAGGACCCGTAAGGATAACTGTTTGCACAACAGTGTGCGTCAAAATGCTGCTGATCATGATTTACCTTTACAGCAAATGCTCAAACTGTTTTCCTTCAGCCGCAATACACGCTCGACATCTTCTTAAAAAAGATCGGGTTATTAAACGAGCGAATCCACGAAACTCAGCTGCTTCCAATAGTCTTTGCCGTAGCTCAACTACATTCTGAATCGGCTTGAAGTACACTTTTTCTTTTACAGTTCCCCAGTAAAAAAATCTAAAGGATTCAAATCAGGTGATCGGGCTGGCCACGGTATTGTACCAGACCGCCCTATCCATCTGCCTGGAAAGCTTTGATCGAGATACTCTCTCACTGAGAGTGCATAGTGTGCTGGGCAGCCATCATGCTGAAACCACATGTCCCTGTAAATACTCAGTGGCACGTCCTCCAATAAATTTTCTAAATGATTTCGCAAAAAACCTAAATAAACCTCAGAAGTCAAAGTCTCTGGGAACTCAAACGGACCGATTATTTTACCATTTAAAATTCCTGTCCAATGGTTTATCTTGAAGCGATATTGAGATTTATCTTCTCTCATCAAATGTGGGTTTGCTACGTGCCACTCGTGTAAGTTATGCAGGTTCATGTACCCATCTTCCTTAAATGTGGTCTCACCTGACCATAAAATTTTTTCAAAGAACCGTGGATCTTCCCTGTGTCTTTCTAACATTGTGCGACAAAAAGCAACTCGGGGCTCATAATCCCGGGGCAGAAGAGCTTGAACACGGTGTACGTGGTATGGATGGAGCACGTTTTTTTGCAAGATTCTATGGGCTGTACTTTTGGGCAAACCTGATTTTAGTTCTATTGCACGCACTGAAGGAAAGATATTCCCTCACCGTGGAACAGTCCAAATCCAAATCACAAGCGATCAACAGTCCAGTTCACGAATCCAAAATTAGTAACAGTACGAAATCAACAAGCACGAACATGTAAAGATGCGCAGTAAACGAAGGAGTACTGATCGGTATCAAAGTGTGCAATAGCGAGTAAGTGATGTGCTTCATCCATACCACATACAGCGTGTTCAACCTCTCCTGCCCCGGGATTATGAGCCCCGAGTTGCTTTTTGTCGCACAATATTAGAAAGACACAGGAAAGATCCACAGTTCTTTGAAAAAATTTTATGGTCGGATGAGACCACATTTAAGAAAGATGGGTACATGAACCTGCATAACTTACACGAGTGGCACGCAGCAAACCCACATTTGATGAGAGAAGATAAATCTCAATATCGCTTCAAGATAAACCATTGGACAGGAATTTTAAATGGTAAAATAATCGGTCCGTTTGAGTTCCCAGAGACTTTGACTGCTGAAGCTTATTTGGATTTTTTGAAAAATCATGTAAAAAATTTATTGGTGGACGTGCCACTGAGTATTTACAGGGACATGTGGTTTCATGGTTTCAGCATGATGGCTGCCCAGCGCACTATGCACTCTCAGTGAGAGAGTATCTCGATCAAAACTTTCCAGGCAGATGGATAAGGCGGTCTGGTACAATACCGTGGCCAGCCCGATCACCTGATTTGAATCCTTTAGATTTTTTTACTGGGGAACTGTAAAAGAAAAAGTGTATTTCAAGCCGATTCAAAATGTAGCTGAGTTACGGCAAAGACTATTGGAAGCAGCTGAGTTTGTTAATAACCGTGGATTCGATCGTTTAATAACCCGATCTTTTTTAAGATGTCGAGCGTGTATTGCGGCTGAAGGAAAACAGTTTGAGCATTTGCTGTAAAGGTAAATCATCATCAGCCGCATTTTAACGCCCACTGTTGTGCAAACAGTGATCCTTAAGGGTCCTTGTGCGTTTTCATAATCGCTGTTTAATTAGGAAATTTTGAAAAATTTCATCAGTTTTTCCTCAAATAAAAATTGTGCATAAGTTAACGAGTAATCTTCTAAGCGTTATACCATTTTGGAATCGTTATTAAATGCGCCAACTTTTAAGGTTACTTGCCAAACTCTCGTAGTACATTTTTTTCCAGTACAGCCAGTTAAAGTTGAGCAAAGTTTTACTTTGGAATACTTGGTTGGGAAATAAGTGGCAATTCTTCCTGAACGAGAAAAGTTTGCAGTAAGGTTGAGACACCAGTTTGAAGATTCATTATTCATCATGTCATTGTAAAAATAAAATCCAAAAAAAGTTAATAATTGTAGTAACAGGAGTTGACAGACTGCCGTAGACTGTGAAATTTCTATATCTTTTTCAAAGACCTATAATTTTCAAAACACATACATAAAATTTTTTTAAATATTTTTCTGATAGCTGTTATGACTTTGCCTATCACCCGGTTTCGGATTGACGTCGACTTCTGGGACACCCTGTATATACAGGGTTATCCAAATTAAGTGTCCACCATTAGCAACTTTGTTATTAGTGAAAATACAAAGTTGTTTGAATTAGCAAACTAGTAGCATTTTTAACGCTGGTAAAAATGAGAAATAAAAAAAAACAATTGAGAGTCGTTATTTTGATTTTTTTCAGTAAAATAACATTTTTTTAAATGGAAACCCCTGTATATTGTATTTTTTTCTGTTAAAGCATCAAATTTTAAACAAAAAAGCTTACAATAACTTTTCTCCTAGGTTACAAATTGTTGAAGTTATGGCCTCCAATCTGAAACAATTAAATTGTATCGACAAACTTTATTTTCAACATCAACTTATAATCTTACAAAATACAATAACAATTTTTTTTAAAGAAGATGCTCGAAAACACCACCTTGTTCTTCAATACATTTTTGGGCACGTTTTTCAACTGCTCGAACTGTCTTATAGTAAGTATGGTCCTACCATCTATCTGGGTTGTCTTTTCCCTAACTGCAGTCTTTAACGCGTCAAGGTTATCGTACCTTCGCTTGTAAATTTGGTTCTTTAAGTAATCCCACAAGAAGTAATCAAGTGGGTATAGATCTGGTGATCTGGGAGGCCACTGTATTGGGCCATTTGTTCCTATCCACTGATCATTAAAAGTAGTACTTAGAAAATGATAAGTACCTCTGGAGTTGTGGGCAGGTGCGCCATCTTGCTGAAAATGCAGATGATGTCTACTCATAAGATCCAATTCGTCTAAGAAATTAGTCAGAATTTCTGACATAAATTCCACATATCTTTCACCAGTTAGGGTTCCCTCATAAAAGAACGGGCCAACAATTTTTGAACCAATTATACCGCACCAAACGTTGAAACTGAAACGGACTTGTGGGCCTCTTGGATGTACTAACAAAAGATTTTCTCTTGACCAATAATGGTGGTTTTTTCTATTAAACATTCCAGAATTTGAAAAATTTGATTCATCTGTCCATAAAAGGTAACGAAAGTTATTTACATTCTGGCGACAGAAGCTAAGATACCAATGGCAAAAAACAAGTCTTCTCTCTGGATCCCCTGCCAAAAGCGTTTGAACTGGTCGGTACTTATACGGAATAAATTTGTATTTTTTTAAAATCCTTTGAACAGTACCATAACTGAAATTAGAGTCCTTGAGAATATCTGCTATTGAATTCTCACGATAAGCTTCAAAATATCCAATAACTGCAATTTCCGTGGCTTCGCTTATTATGAATTCTTTTTTTGCCCTTGTTTTAGCAAAAACATTTTCGTTGCCCCTAAATTTTCGATAAAGTCTCAGAAAATATCGTTCATACGGTTGAATGCGAGCGGGATATAATTCACTGTAGTATTCTCTTGCTCTCAAGGAGGATTTTCTGCACACTAAATAGCATTCTAACATATCACACTTTTCTTCATGGGAGAACATTTTTCTTTAAATTAATGACACAATAAAGCTTATAAACAAGTATTTACACTAATGTTTGACATTATTTGATTTTATCATTGTTTTCCAAAGCCTTCTAGTTGCGAGTATGTCCAGTTTAACAATTTGTCGCTTATCTTAATGCTGTCAAATCGCGAACGCCATGTTGTTTTCATAGCCGTCTTAATATTATAATACTGCAAATAATTAAAAATATTTATCGTTATTTTGACTTTATTTTTGACTTTAGCGGAAAAGTCATTATAAACTTTTTTGTTTAAAATTTGATGCTTTAACAGAAAAAAATATAATATACAGGGGTTTCCATTTAAAAAAATGTTATTTTACTGAAAAAAATCAAAATAACGACCCTGAATTGTTTTTTTTTATTTCTCATTTTTACCAGCGTTAAAAATGCTACTAGTTTGCTAATTCAAACAACTTTGTATTTTCACTAATAACAAAGTTACTAATGGTGGACACTTAATTTGGATAACCCTGTATATACAGGGTGTCCCGAAAAAAGTGTGCAATGTTCTACCAGCGGTTTCTAGAGCTTAAAATAGGAAGAAAAGTTCATATAAACATAGGTCGAAAAACGTCCCCTAAGGGCGCTACGGTCTTCCAAAGGGGCTCCCCTGAAGATGGTTTTTCCTTGATATTTCCGAAACGTGTTGAGATAAAGACATAAAATTTGGTATCCTAGCCTAGTTTTTTATGCTGGATTTAAAAATATTAACAATTTTAGACAGTTTTGTTTGGAAGCGTATGTAACAGGGACGGACTTAGGTTATTTTGGCCCCAAAATTTTTGTGTGATTGTATCTTTGAAATTCAATTTTAGAATTTGAAAATTTAGGGTTTTCTACATTAAAAAAGGTAGTCTTATTGAATATCGATAAATTGTGCCATTTTTGAATAAAATCAAACTAAAAAATTTGTTACATGATAGGAAATGTACTGCGAATTTAAATGAATTGTTGAATAATTAGCCATGGCAACGAAAAAACTAATTCAATATTTGGTAAATATTAATCGTAACGTAAAAATAAAAATGGCTGCAATTTCAAAGGGGATGAGGTAGGACATGGTAGGGGGATGGATTTGTCGATAAAAATAGCTGAAAAATACCCCCCTTAAATATCAAAAACTGTTTGATCTACGAACATTGAAATTTAGCAGAAGGGAAACTTATGAACAGGGAATGTCAGCTAATTTTGCGATAAGTTCGGACGAAAAAGAGGTAGAGATATATAAAAGCTAGTTTTGCTAGACACCTAGAATTTTGTAGAAAGGCAGTTTATAGGCATTTGAGATTAAGAACAATATGAGTTTCAAGTTTTTTTCTGTTTTGCACCTTAGCATCAGCCATTAGTTGTACCCACAGGAGGCAGATTCCACCATAGGGACCACGCCTATATTTCTCAATTCCCTCTATTATGAGCTCTGAATAAAGAATGTAATATTAGACATTTCACTCTATTTATAGCTATTTGACGTCTTCAACCAAATCTTCACGACATCCTTCTGTCTCAACACCGGGTATTGGCCTTTGTACTCATCGGTAACAGGCCAGTGTCTCTGCAGCTGTGGTAAATTTGGAGTGCCTTGCAGACATACCAAGACCGAATATCACTGGATCGACATGACACCAGTACAACATCTACCAGGTGGTCCGATATTTTATCCCAAAGTTTATGGACAAATTGTACCTATGGTAGGCATTTCAATTCAATTTAATTCTTTATTTGTGTTAAGTACACCAGCGTTTTTTTCACAAGTCAAAAGAAAAACAAATTAATACAAAAAGCAGTCTGACAAAAGACTGATGTTCAAATTGAACAGAAAAACATCAACATAAACATTATGATTCAATAAAAGCAGATACAGCAAGTCCATATAAGTTGTAAAAACAGGAGGACATATATACGTACACAGATACACAATACGTATGTTTACTTCTACACACACACATATAAACATATATACACATATATACGTTAAAATGGTAAGACATATGAAATGTTGATATAAAAATTTACCAGATGACTTAGTAGAAAGTTCAAGGAGCCTAGAGGATCCCAGGTGTAGGAACACTGTTATGTTTGCTAACAATCCGACAAGTCTGAAAAATTATTGCTCAAATACTCGTTGATCGAGTAAAATGCTTTAGTAGTCAGATAAGCATTAATTTTATTTTTAAAAACTTTCGCATCCATTTTCTTTATACGGTCTGGTAATAGGTTATAAAAAACTATCCCATAATAGTTTGTGCCGTTCCTGAAGGTTTGGAGACGGCTATGAGGTACTAAGATTTTATCCATATTTCTGGTTTTATAACTGTGGACATCACTGTGGGCAGTATATTTGCTCAGGTTAGTCTTTATATACATCAGAAGGTACTGTCATGATTTTCAAGGTTCCGTGTATTTGATGCCAGCAATGTACCGCAAGCAACGTCGTTGTAATCCAAAAACTTTTGACGAATAGGCTGAGTGACCCCAGTTTAACAATGCGTATGAAATTCTTGATTGAAAGTAGGAATAATATGTTAGAAGAAGAACTGACTGAGAGACATTTTGTTTCAAGTTCCTTATCAAATATATACATTTTGCTAGTTCTTCGAGAACATGGATTACGTGAGTTTCCCACGACAAGAGTTCATCAAGGTAGACTCCTAGTAACTTCACGGACTTTAGTGTATTATTGTCGTGCTGCCTCAAGCTAAGAATAATCATCAGAGACTTGGTTTCATTGATGGTCAACTTATTAGTGGTTAACCAGTTTGCTAGTTTTCTTTTATGAGCTTCACAGTCGAATATCAATGAGGCTAAAGAGGCATTGCTATTCAGCAAGGTAGTGTCATCAGCGAATAGGATTAAGTTATTATTCACATTATAGTTAGTTATATCATTGACGTAAATTAAAAATAAAATAGGTCCCAATACCGAGCCTTGCGGTACCCCGTGAGCAGCGACCAACTGTAAGGATCATCAACCTTTAAAGAATACAAATTGGCGTCGATTACTCAAGTAAGATTTAATCATTGCAGTGGATGCTTCATGAAAGTTATAAAAAGGGAGCTTTTCCAACAGGATGTCGTGATGAACACAATCAAAAGCTTTGGACGAGTCCAACAAACATGCTGCGCCGTATAGGTTGTTTTCAAAAGTCTCGTTCACAAACTGAATAAAACTGTTAATAGCTGATGTGGTGGAACTATTTTTCCTAAAACCAAACTGTGTTGAGCAAAATAAATTATAAGCCTCAAAGTATTCATTAATTTGATCTTAGGGATTAAGGAAATGGGCCTGTAGTTGCATAACTCTTCAGTATCCCCTTGTTTGAAAATGGGTATAATTTTAGATAGTTTGAAAAAATCCGGAAAAGTATTACTTTCTATACACTGATTGAAGGTCAGTACTCTTTGAGTTTTTTAGTTTTTTTATGGCAGTTCTCACATCATGACATGTATTTTCCCTGAATCGAAAGTGTGAACTATGAGTAGGATGATTCATATAACGCGATGGAGAAATATCGGATGGGGTAATTTTATTTAAAAGTGTTTGTGGGATATGGGTAAAAAAGTCGTTGAATTGATGTGCTGTGAGAGATGTTGAGGAGTCCTGGTTTAACATTCTTTATGATATTCCAAGCAGCATGTTGTCTGTTGTTGGATTTATTAATGTAGTCATCATTGGCTTTAATCTTAGCTTTGACAATTTCTTGTGTGTAACTGTATTTAAATTGTTTCAAGCAGTCCGTACTAACTAAAGTAACATCGTCTATGAAGCTCTGTTAGGAAACTCAAGGTCTCTCTCATATTTCTTATATGATCATTGAACCAATACACATTACAGGAACTTTTATTATCATTAACAAGTCGATATTTTATAGGAAGAAGTTGACTGACCGAAATTCTGACAGTAGATATGAATTTTTCAATTTTATATTCGATTGTCGTACTTTTTTCATTAACAAATTCTAAAGATGTTGATTCCATATCGTTGTAAAGTTTGAAAAGGCCGCTATTTGTTATAGGTCTATAATAGAGTTTCCTACGTACTTTCGGTACATGTGATAAATTAAAAGTATAGTCAAGCGCTAAATGATCTGAATAATGAGTATCACAAACCTTAACTACAACACAACTAAATAAGTTCACAAGGTCTTGTATTATTCTGTTGTTTATCTTCCCTAATGGATGCTTTACTTAAGAAAAAACTGTTTTTCAGACTTGTCGGGGATGTTTATTTGTACAGTTTTCAAAGGCAATATATTTTTTAAATGTTCAAAAATAATATCCTTTACATGCTGGATGATTGTCATTTTTGATCCCGTAACCCTGATGGCATAGAATAGGCTCAAAGAATAGTTTCTATTTAGTTTCCTGAGTCTATCGACTTTAGTATTAATTATATTTCTAAGATGATAGTCCACAGATGTGGTCAATTCGCATAAAAAAATAAGATTGGTTACTCGACCGAGAGGTAAAAGGCAATGTAAACCTTTGTTTAAGGATGGGGTGTTACTTATATTGTTAGAGTTGATCATGAAGATTACAAAATCGTTCTCAACAAGAGATTTGTGATGTTAAATACGTTTTTTGTGATATCTACAAACTCTAAATGGGGATAAACGTGAGCTTTTATAAAGAACTTTGTCATGTCGATGTATAATTCTAACACTTTTCTGAAGCTTTTTGCATATTCGTCACCAATTATAATGATTTTCCGACAGCTGTCTGAGGCATTACGTTTTGGTGTTAGTTGATAGTCCAAGATCTAGTCGTGATAGTATGATTTGCCTGATTTTTTTAACAATGACAATTTAATAGCTTTAATTGCAAAATACACATGAGATACAATGCCGACCACATAATCCACATGCCGAGGGCGCTACCTAAACAGGAAGGTTGTAACTACTGTTTTAGTGATATTTGCTTGAATCCCTAGCCTAGGATAGTGAACGGAACATACTTTTGTGACAAGATATGACGCAAAAAAATTCAACCCAAAAAACAATTTGTTTTTGGGACGCACTGGATATGAGCATTTCATCAGTTTTCTGGGACCTTGTCGGATTCGTAAAATATCTATTTCAGGTCTCTCTATCAATACTGACTTTCGTAACGAAAATTAATTTCGTGCAGGGATTTCCTCCATTACCTCGATGCTCATTTGGGGTATAATTTCATTTTCCTTGATCGCTGCATTACAGCCTTGAGGGTTGGTATCTCATTTCTAAAGAAGAATGAATGTACGGTTCGCATTAGCGTCATTTTGCTATCGTCATCCAATTTAACGGCCTTTCGTTCCTTCAAATTAAACTTTGGATCAGTAGTAGCTACAGTCTTCTTCTTTTCATGCACCACCCCGCGAATGGTCCACTCTGGAACGCCTGTCATACTTTCACAACGCGCAAGTGCATCTCCCTGCGACATAGTTCTGTTCAGATAATTGAACACGTTGAGCACGATTTCTTTCGCGTCCCTCTTCAGTGCTTTACGAAGCCGTCTACTTGTTCCCTGGCTTTCAGTACTTCCACTCGTGCCATTTGTACTCTCCATGGTTAAGTATAACCAAAACAAGTAACCACAGAAACCACAACAATAACAATCACACAACAATTCTTATAAAAACACACAATATGCGATCGCTCAACGAAACACGTTCCAATGCGTTGCCGACGCCTATGAGTCTGCCGGTCGAGGTGCGTCTTTGATTTCATTGGTTCTACCGGCGGAGAACAATCAGCCATTATTTTCATCTCTGTCTGTGCTGTTGACCACCGCAAAGCCACAGAAACGACATCTGTCGTACGCTATACGGCTGTACTGGAAGGAAGCCGGGATCGAGCTCTGATCACGTGTTGATCACGCGTATGAGTCATTACAGTTTTAAATAGTTGCAGTATAGTTAATTGTATTATACATATATTTTTCTTAGCGATCTTCTTTTATCTCATGACATTTTTGTATTGTTTTTTTTCAATTTGCTTTTGGTAATTATGCCTTACGCAGCATTGCATTGTTTTTAACTTGTTTTATTCATGTTTGATGTAGATTTTTCTAAGCGTTCTATGAGTATATATTGACTTGTGGAAACACTTTCTGTGTATTAACATCAATAAATTATTACTATTATTATTATTATCTAAAAAAAAAACGTGACATTTCGTCGATACGACAGCAGGATGTCTTGTCTACAAATATTTCGATTTGTGTTAGCAAAGTACGTCCAGACTTGTCAAAACCTCACTTTTATCTGTAGGGCATCATTATAGGCAACATTTCCGACCTGTTCTAGCTAAAATATTTGTTGCTCTTTCTACAGGGTGTTCAGTAAATAGTACGATAAAAAAAATAGGGACGATAGGTGGAAGGCAGATCAACAACATACCAAAATAACCTTAGTAAAAGATTCTTTTAGGATATTCATACTTTTGTCTCTCTATTTTTAATCTGTCTTTAGTTGCTGTGCCTGGAAACAACCGGATATCTGTTTGTTTTTTTTTGCAAAATATTCTCAACTAGTTGACCTATCATATTAAATATCATTTTCGAAAAATACAATTAGGCAAATTTGACAAACCAATTTCTTAATTTTTATTTTAGGAACCTATTTTACTCAACATTGGTATTCAGCAATGAAATATACTAAGTGACATATAAATCCGAATACCCAGTTTAAATGGTTTTATTTTAATAAAAAAACCGGCGTGGCTCTATGCTATACGTCCGTTTTTAAAATTTGAGTGGTTCAACAGACCATCCTAAAGCTTCTTCAATTCTTACACCTTTATGGGCTTTACGATGTTGTATGAAGCGTGTTATAATACCGAAATCATGACATACATAAAACGTTTATAAAAGCCCAGCTCAAGCTGTTTAATATTGAATGGGAGGGCTTCATATACATAAGTCGACCAGTAGCTTTAATCGTAAATAAAAAACCCAGGCTCTGAAGAATGATTTGGGATCGAATGCGATTCCCACCCTTTCCTTCTAGCTCTTATTATGATTTTGAAAAATTCTAGAAAAAACAACGAAAATGAAGAAAATTTCATTATGCTAGTTGATCTCACTCGTTAATCTCAAGGACTATGTTAGTTTGCTTTTTACTATACTAAGTGACATATAAATCCGAGCACCCAGTTTAAATGGTTTTATTTTAATAAAATTTTGTATAAGTACTTAATGAAGCATAATAAGTAAATGATAAAAACTTCAAAATGATTGCACTGCTTTAAAGCCCTTTGACCTTTAATAATGTGTGGATGCACCCTGATGTGCTACGCATTCTCCAACGCGCCTAGGCATGCTTCTGATCAGGTGGTCAATGTCCTCCTGTGGTATCTCATTCCAGGCAACCACCAACTCCTCTCGAAGTGCTTCTAGAGTCTGAGGAGGACGTTGCAAATTGAGCAATCTCCTACCCATCATATCCCACACGTGCTGAATTGGGGATAAGTCGAGAGATCTTGGTGGCCATGGTAACAATGTGACATCATTATGTTGAAAGAAGTCTATTGTGACTCTTGCAACATGTGGTCGGGCATTATCTTGTTGGAAAGTTGGATCTGCCAGGGTGTCAAGATAGGGTAAAAGATGGGGTTCTAGAACTTCGTGGATATAACGTTGCGCGTTCATGTTACCTCTGATGAAGATTAAAGGTGACCTGGAACCATAAGCTATAGCAGCCCAAACCATAACTCCAACAGTGTGATGAACATGTCTTTCAACAAAAAACTGTGGATTCCTCCTTTCACCACGTCGCCTTCTAACCCTGGCACGACCATCGTGCATTCCTAAACAAAATCGAGACTCGTCACTAAAGACAATATTGTTCCATTCCTGATCCCAGAGTGACCGTTGTCTGCACCACTCAAGGCGATTACGTCGGTGTTCTCGAGTTAAAGGGAGGATCAAATGTGGCCGGTATGAAAACAAGCCAAAACTTCTCATTCGTCGGTAAACACTTCGCATGCCAATGGGTCTTCCATGTTCTGCAAACCATTCATTTGCAATGGACCTGGTAGTGGAGAAACGGTCCCTTAAGGCCAATAATCTTAGGCGGCGATCTTCACGGTCTGTTGTTCTACGGCGGCGTCCAGTGCCCCTTGCTCTTTGCGTACGGCCTTCTCGAAGCCATGCCTGACAACACCTAACCACAGTGTCTACACTTTTTTGCACTCTAACTGCAATTACCCGAAAAGAAAGTCCAGCTTCCCGAAGTCCCACTATACGGCCCCTATCAAACTCACTAAGTTGACGAAATCGTACAGGTCTCCGTACTCTAGGCATCGTAACCGATCGTAAAGGATGTCAAGAACCAAAATCTGCCAACGTTGATTCTTTACTGCAGCTGAAGTATTCATTTTTAGAGCGTTAGTGAATTAAAAAAAAGCAATATAAAAACCGGAATGTCCAACTGATAAGGCTGAAAATTTTTTCTCTTGTTATTTACAGTACGATAAATACATTCATCAACTTTTATTAAAATAAAACCATTTAAACTGGGTGTTCGGATTTATATGTCACTTAGTATAAAACTATACTAGACTGCTACTGCAAAAAACTGCGATGCCAGGATCATTTTTTGGTATGTTTTTTCGCCTACCTTCCCCACTTTTCTGTCGTACTATTTACCGGACACCCATCCAATGCGCCAATTTCCTAATTTGGGTGAGTTTATTGGTACATCATAATGAACCTTTTGTTTTCAGAATTACGATTTGAAAATCAAGTTTCCTGTAGGAAATGGATACAGCTACGATATTAACTTTACAGTCAACGTGCAGTATAGCAGACCTGAAGGTAGGCCAGGACGTCGGACGCCGAGGGGCAACATAGATCTTGCGAATGGAGACGTCTACAGCCAGGTCTTCGTCATGCAGATCTTTTCAAGGTACTGCAACATCAAATCTAAGGTTGCACCAGACGACCAGAAAAGAATCTTACAACCGGTTTGTTGAAGTAGTATCGGTATTCGTTTTTAATTTTGAAGGTCAGAAAACGCCCTTGAAATGAGCTGAGGTCAAGGTCACATCCAGAAAATATAGCGAGAGACATTTCATACACAATTCTTGATGATGCTTCTCCTAAGTTCTGTATTTACACTGTAATGTATACTGGGTGACAAGGAAAATTGGAAACACCCTGTTCTTTTTTGACAAATAAAGATATCGCTTCAATATTGGGACATGTTTAGTTAGTCATTAAGAGGCATTTCTGGAAAGTAGAATGGATTATCTCCGTTTTCAGGTTTAACCAGAAATGAACTTCGTATTTCAAATATAACTACTTCCATAATCGTACTCTATGCAAAATTTTCTTTCCAACGATGTATCACAAGCAACATTTTTGTTTTAAAATGGCGGCGATATAAAGGAATTTGTGAATAACCTAAAATGTGCTATATTGGTTACAAGACAAAAAAATATTTCGAACTAGTGGTGGCGATGTTTTTATTTCGTATTTTATAATAACAGACTATTAAAACAACTCCCTTTGATTGCTACAAACTGAAATTATTAATATTATCATCTCATATCATATTCTACCTATTTTGCCCAATTAGTCACAAAAAAATTATTACAAAACTTAGAAGAACTATTAAACAGTCATACTGAAGCTAATACAGTTCAATCCGTCCCCCACTATTTCCGTAGCGTTTACTGACCCTTCTTATGGCCGCATTTACACGAAATGGAGTGCACAATTTCCATAACAATCATGTTTGGGCGGTAGAAAATCTGCATGCTGTAAAAAGAACTCATTTTCAACATAGGTTTTCAGTAAATGCTTGGGCTGCCGTGGTAAATGGCATGCTTTCTGGATCCTACTTGTTTTCACTTCGACTGACTGGTGAAATTTATTTACATTTTCTTCGATACAATCGTTCCTCTGAATGTGAGTCAGAATATGTGGTTCCTACATGATGGGGCTCCACCTCATTTTAAACGAAAAGTTAATCAGCATCTAAAGTAATCAGTTTCTAAATAGATGGATAGGGCGCAACAGACCCGTTTCTTGGCCAGCTCGCTCCCCGGATTTAACGCCTTGCGGTTTTTTCTCTGGGGCTATTTGAAAGAATTGGTGAGTCATGATGGAGCAGTAAATACTCTGGAAGAACTTCAGCAGAGCACTGAAAATGCTTGTGACTTAATTCCTGGACATCAGGATTTTATGTTCGATTTAATTTGATTATAATTTTTTTAAATAATTATTATGCAACTTTTATATAGGCTTTTTGGTATATCAACTAAGTGACATATAAATCCGAACACCCAGTTTAAATGGATTTATTTTAATAAAAGTTGGTGAATGTATTTATCTTACTGTAAATAACAAGTGAAAAAATTGTGAAGATCGCCGCCTAAGATTATTGGCCTTAAGGGACCGTTTCTCCACTACCAGGCCCATTGCAAATGAATGGTTTGCAGAACACGGAAGACCTATTGGCATGCGAAGTGTCTACCGACGAATGAGAAGTTTTGGCTTGTTTTCATACCGGCCACACTGGGTCCTCCCTTTAACTCGAGAACACTGGCGTAATCGCCTTGAGTGGTGCAGACAACGGTCACTCTGGGATCAGGAATGGAACAGTATTGTCTTTAGTGACGAGTCTCGATTTTGTTTAGGCATGCACGATGGTCGTGCCAGGGTTAGAAGGCGACGTGGTGGAAGGAGGAATCCACAGTTTTTTGTTGAAAGACATGTTCATCACACTGTTGGAGTTATGGTTTGGGGTGCTATAGCTTATGGTTCCAGGTCACCTTTAATCTTCATCAGAGGTAACATGAACGCGCAGCGTTATATCCACGAAGTTCTAGAACTCCATCTTTTACCCTATCTTGACACCCTGGCAGATCCAACTTTCCAATAAGATAATGCCCGACCACATGTTGCAAGAGTCACAATAGACTTCTTTCAACATAATGATGTCACATTGTTACCATGGTTACCAAGATCTCCCGACTTATCCCCAACTGAGCACGTGTGGGATATGATGGGTACGAGATTGCTCAATTTGCAACGTCCTCCTCAGACTCTAGAAGCGCTTCGAGAGGAGTTGGTGGTTGCCTGGAATGAGATACCACAGGAGGACATTAACCACCTGATCAGAAGCATGCCTTTAAAGCAGTGCAATCATTTTGAAATTTTTATCATTTACTTATTATGCTTCATTAAGTCCTTATACAAAATTTTATTAAAACAAAACCATTTAAACTGGGTGTTCGGATTTATATGTCACTTAGTATATTTTGGTGAGTTATATGAGCTGGTAAAATCAATGACTCAACTTTGAGAACACCCAGTATGTGCCGAGTTTAGTTACCGTCAGGTTACGGTCGCCAGTTGCTCTTAGTGGGGACAGTCCCTAAGATTACCATAGAATAGACCCCTGGAGACTTGTATAGTCGATTTTATTTTCTTTTAGGTACCACGCGGTCTCGGAGTACTACCCAGGCGCGTGCACAATACTCTTCCAACCTAACCCATTCTGCCAACGGCGCTATGGTTCTTACTTCAAGGAACTCGTCTGTTTGAAAAACCAAGATCCACAGCTGTTCAACATGCAACCTCGCACGCTCTGTTTGGCGAGCTCCCAGGTCCCTCCATCTTCGTTCATACTCCACGAGGTCAACGTACCTATCTTGGTCCTGCCAAACCGTATATGTGCCTTTGAACCAAATCCGATGTACCGCAGGCGGCAGTATAGTCGAGGTACAAAGAATAAAGGATGTCAGACGCCTTGGAAATTCTTTGCAGTCAAAGACGAAAATGATGCTAGGCGCAGGGATGTTGCTAGCATTTGGAGCAGCTTTCCCGATAGCTCTGAAGCGTTGAGCCAGAATCTGAGGGAGCTCGCGACGAGTTCTAGCCAAGACTTTATGGCAGATCGATCGGACGACTTCTCAGAGTTGCGAGATTCAGAGGAATATGACAACCAACTACCAACTGGCGGTTACGACAGAGTTATCAGACGTCGTCAAGCATCTCCGGTATATGTCGTCGTCGAAAACCTCCGCCAAGAGGATTCTATTCCAAACCGAGGAGTGAAGAGACGACTTACCAACTCTGCTTCACGGGGTGGTCCTGTTACGCCCAGTATGGTGGCTGAGTTCACAATGAGTTGCGAAGAAGCAGACTCAACTGTCAGCGATAATATGGCGCTATCGAGGCCTTCTACCTCTGGAGTGAGCCACTACAAAGTATCGCAGAAACTGAAGTCCGCCGGTCAGCAAGATTATGCGGAGTTTCTCAATAAGCATTTTCCACCTCTGAAACCGGTTGCTCCTAAATCGGATATTGATGAGGAGTTTGAGTTGATCGAGACCGTAATTAAAGAAGATGAAGAGAATGATAAAGGAAAGGCTAACGTTAAGAAAGAGGAAGGACCTGGGGCAGGTGGGATGGAATAATTGAGTTGACTTATTAATATAAACTGCTGGTCAGTCGCTTTGCAACACCAGTTTGGTGGAAGGTATGGCTATTAGTAATGTATCCTCATCAAAATAGATATGTACTGTAATTTCAGAAATTTCGAATATCCTCATAAGCATTGATTAACGTATGCTCTAATAATATGTCCAACCATATGCTGTATTTGGACGTTCAAAGCTCATTTCACAGTAATATTACCGAACTTATTCCTTTTTCAATTTGAAAAGGAGGAACCATCCATCAATCTGCGTGTAACATTGTTCATCCGCACAATTTTTCAACGATAATAGAGGAAATCCTATAACATGTGGCAACAGCTCGACAGGTGGCAACACTGGCGGGTAAAGACGGTGGTCGACAGATGGATAGCTATGAACATAAGTCGTTGGTGACTTACTATTTTCATGCAGGCAGATGGATTTGAGATCTTGTGGTGGAATATGTTAATCGATGTTGGTTGAATTGATTTGTTACACATTTGAACGAAAATTTTAGTTTTACATCGTATTTAGAAAGAGCAACTAAACCTCTAGTTTTATATAATATATATTTTGGAAACGCCACCTTAGTATTTGTAAAATAAGGTATACCCGATTCCTTCATAAGAGTAATAGAAATTATCACAACCTAAATCAATTTTCGAATTTGTGTATTGGTGCCTTAGATTAAATTCAGTATTCATACACAATTTGCATATTTATGACTTAAATCATATGATTGCTAGTAACTATAGGAATTATAATAGCCAGCGATCTAGTTGATAAGCTGGTCCCACATTCATACCACGAGCACGGCAAATACCAAGATTTATCTTGCTCATAGTGGCCGTCATACGTGACCTAAAATACAACAAATTTTATCCGATGCAGGTTTTGGCTTAATGAGTGCAAATATTCAGGGATATGCTTCATGATATGAAGAAGTAAATTTCTTTCTACAGAGTATTGAATTTATCTGTTTTGTCTTCAAAAGTACTATTGGTTACAGCATATTATAAGATAATGTAAGATGACACATTTAAGTATAAGAAATTATACTATACGGTCACCAGTGGCGCCATCGCAAACATGTTTCGTAATATCTTCTGGAAAAAAATTGGTAGCCTGTTGATATTTTTCAATGTGCAAATTTTTTGTTAGCAGTTACCATATTATCATAATAATCAAGAAGATAGTAGCATAGGGTCTTTATATAGAAACCGGAAAAAATATTCGCTTTGAAAAATATCATGGAAAATGAAAAAAAAGTCAAAAGACATGTTTGTGAGGCGCAACTTTTTACCTGAAATATATAAAATAGCACCCTGTAGCCATTACGCCTAAAGTCTCTTCAACTTTTCCTCATTGATTTATTTGAGAAATCACCTCCTGGGTATTAGCACAGCATTAAGAAACACTTTGTAAGTGTATGTTCGAAAATCTACAGATTACAATATCCAAAAGACTTTGTGAGTAGTGGTGTGTAAAATTGACTGATTTTAATAGTTTATACTTAAATTGATACAGCCAGATTCATGAATACTCCACTTGAAAAATAGCAACATACATACGTCTTTTAATAGCCATCGCCATAATCATAAACATAAGCATAGTCACAGTTATAGGTGCTTATACAACTGTTTTAATCATAGTCATAAGCAGTTGTCTCTTTTGAATTTGACATACTATTATGTCCTGCTTGAGAAAGAAAAAAATAACGAACAACTCAATAAACAAAGTTGCTTTAAATCTCCTTGAGTAGTTGAACAATAAGCAAAATAATTATAACACCATGAACAGGGCAGTAGGTCACAGTTTGAGTTTGCCATGTGTCATAAAATTGTAGGTTACGTATGCTGCTAGTTAGCTGTCAAGTAATAGGTTAGGTGACAGTTTTGACATATACACTTGGTTAAATGACGTTTCATACGTATAATCATAACAGAAGGCTTCAACCACATTTATGATTATGGTTATGGTAAAGACATATTGTATAAACTTGTTCATAAGGTACGTATTCCAACTCTTATGTTCATGTCTAATAAAAGGTTGTATAAGCCCGCCATAATTCCTCACAAATAGCCAATCAACGATCAAATGTAATAATAATCCATCAAATCAATGCCGTTTTTCAAACGAATGTATCAGAGCTCTTACATTTCTCGGACCTACTAGATGCCTTCCCTAAAGCCTGATGGGTGGCCTTGATACGCTATGTTGCTTCATAACAGCCCCTAAGACGTTGAAAATCCGGTCATTGGAGAAAGCAATATTAATACTACTAGTGGCTCAATAGTGACCTCAAAGCTATAAAACGCAATATCGTCACATTTGGATCAATGATCATTGCAAAATTTTCAGCGTCTGGGAGCTGTTAAGAAGCCAAATATCGAAAACGCTTACAGTTAACAGGCTTCAGAAGACTTATGCTTAAGCAAGTAGTGAATAAGGGAAAATCACTGATGGGTTTGATGGTGAGGTAGGAATTGGATGCAGATATTGAACTCCTCTATCTGCAACTAAGAAGCTCATATTATAATAATAATAACTGGAAGGATTATTATTTGATCTGGTTACTTGTTGAGAATCAAATGTTTCCATACACCGTTTTAGAACACTGGCGATAAGAACAAGTTTTGTTATCAATTTGTACGTTGGACTATATTTTTTGCTGCTGCTGCTATTTTATTTTGTGCTGTACTGTGGAACTTTTTGTGATTTTCTTAGCTTGATTTACATAAATAACGAAAATCAATCAAATTTTCACACAATCTTTACTTAGTCTTATTAGAATTAATGCCTAATTATGGGAGATTGTTAAAAACCACAGAAATTGAAAAATGTCGAAAACAACTGATTTTCGGCCTCACCTATATGTACATGTATGGTAACATTTGTTACATTTTATGTCCCATATCACGCTCTGGAGTGTGTACGGCGAATTATCAGTGACTTTATTTTATATTCATGTTTAGCTTTAAAATATGCCTATATTTGTATCTGTATATCTAAAAATATTGAATAAAGGTACCCAGGTAACTTATTTCCTGTGCTATATACTCTCAAGCTTTTCTGGTATAGCTGCATCGGAATTCCGAGTGCGAGGGTCGCTGGCTAGTGCACATACAGACCTAATTAAATATAAATAGGTCGTCGATACTTCTGCAAAATTAATTAATGCGAGCGACGACGCAACGGCCGACAAACGTGTGTTTCCCTTACGTATTCGACCCAATTTCGTGCGGCGGAGTGACTACTCGTACGCCATCAAGCTGAGTGTTACAGGTGGTTCGGGAGGCTTTCATCCAAAGGTTTTTCATCTGGCAATGCGTGAAATACATGCATCTTGTACCTACGCATTCAACCCAATTTCGTACGCAGGAGTGACTAATGGTACGCCTCGTCAATTTATACCACAGCGTCTTCAGTACTTCTGCCAAGTAAATTAATGCGGGTTATCATGCAACGGTAGACAGACGTTTGTGTCGTTGACACATTCGAATAAATTTCTTGCGAGGGAGTGACTACTGGTACACCATGAAGCTGAGTGTTGCAACAGCAGTTCTAGGGACTTTACTAACTTGACCTGGCATTACGTGAAATAAATGCCCTTAACCGTAGTACTCAACCTAGTTCCATGCGGGGGAGTGAGTACTGGTACGGCTCACCGATTTCATGCAAAGGAGTGAATACTGGTACGGATCATACGATATGTTCTATGACGATATTTTCATTTACAAATTCGGCATGTTTCTATGTGAAAAACTGAAGAACGACTACCTAGGTCTCGGTGTAACTCCATCCGTCCTTGCGTGGACCAATTATGGTCACCGTTTGATCCATTTTTAACTAACTAGTGGCAAGCCTTGATGTTTTGTGTTACGACGTACCGCTACACATTGGGCTTTTTATGACAATGAGTGTAGTCAGTAAGACCCATGTTTTCTGGTTCCGGATTTATTAAGTTTTCTATACACTCCTGACCTGTCACGAAAATGCAGCTATTACTTAACGGACTGGTCGATACGTACCTAGAAATCGCGTGAGTTGATATTTAGATTTGAAGGAATTGCTATTATTTAAGCGTCTTACTCTGGACGTTCTTATCCTTATATCGATAAAGGAGTATAGGAGAATAGCAACAAGCTGGCTTAAAACAAAAGTATAGTTCATGTTTAAACAATTTTATCCCAGATCAATTTTCTATTGAAAAAAAAAGAACTATTCAAGGTTAAGTACTTAAGTAAATAAGTTACCCTCCTAATTGTGAGGAATCTACGTGAAAAGGTTTATGCTCCCAATGCTCTCAAAAACATTTCCTTTTCCACCCTATGGAGGATCAATTATTCTCTAGGAACACGTGCGCTTATTGTAATTTACTTTATGCTAGACCTATTTTCATCGTTTTATTTCTCCTATATAAATGGGTATCGATTTGGTTTACCAGAGCCTATTTATCCCAAAGGAATAGAAAAACGTTCATCGCATATGTGGATAAATAGAAGAAAACTAGTGTTTATTTAAAACAACCTCAATAACTTATGGTAGGGTAAAGTGTAAAGGGAACTTAGTTCCAATGAACCTGAAAGGTCGTCCAGAAGGAGTGGGCTGAAGATCCGTGATCGAGAATACGCAATGTTGAAAATGCGTCGATGATATTCAACATTTCAGCATTTTTAAAAATATCTTGAAATGTTTTTAGATCTTAATATTTGAGGAACTCCAAGAGGGAGTAACTGAGTATTGCAGTAGGCTGGAGAGTTTTAATCCTCTTTGATGCACACTGGATCTATTTTGTTAGTAGACTGTCTGACAATTGCAAATAATCGCTTAAATATACTTAACGTTTCACGAATTGGACATAGCTATTGAACATTTGAGAAAACATTTCAAATCAAAGCATGGAGAATGGTCGTTGGCCTGCTCGCAATTATTGTGAACCAGCGTCCAGCCCTGTAACGCGAGCCGTACCACGCGTCACGACGACTTGCCTTTGCCGGCATCGTGCGGTGTTGCCGCTTGTTACAATTTTCTCCAGCTTGGGGAGAATTTTCTGTACTAGTATTACTTGGCTTCTGCGTGTTTCTAGTTGGACCTAACACTGCACTGAGTCCTGCATTTGCCAGCGTTATGCGATGTTTCCACTTGTTCCAATTTTCTCCAGCTTGGAGAAAATTACCTGTACCAGCATTTCTTGGCATGTTCGAACACTGTATTGCACCCCGTACCAAGTGTCCTAAGTGTGGCCTTTGCCGGCATTGTGCGATATTGCCCCTGGTTCCAATTTTTTGTACCAGGACTTCTTGATATCCCCGTATTTCAAGTTGAGTCCTGCCCTGTATTGCATTCCGTACCAGGCGTTCCGAGCCTTACCTTCGTCGACGTTGTGCGGCGTTGCCACTTGTCCGAATTTTCTCCACTTTGGGTAGAATTATTTGTAGAATAAATTCCTGGCATCCTAGTACTTCTAGCTGAGTCCAGTCCTGTATCTTAAGCCTTGCCTTTACCGGCTTTGTGCGATGTTGCCACTTCTTCCAAGTTTTACGAACTTCTTGATATCTCCGTGTTTGAAGTTGAGTCCAACCCTGTATCGCACTCCGTACCAGGCGTTCCGAGCCGTATCTTCGCCGACGTTGGCACTTTTCAGAATTTTCCCCACTTTGGTTAGAATTATCTGTTGTAGTGTTCCCTGGTCTCCTAGTGTTTCTAGCTGAGTCCAGCCCTGTATCGCACCCCGTACCAGCCACCGTCCCGACGCCCTGCTGGCGTCGACGACGTCGTCCGTGCTCCGGTTCAGTCCGTGTGCGCGACGTGACTTGTACGCACCTGCCACCGGATTTATCCGGGGACTCCGGGAAACTAACGACGGTTACGCGACGTCTCGCGATATGCAACGCGAAATATCATCAGTCGTCTTCGTTACGCTATTCGCTTATCTCTTCTATTCTCGGTTGGCTTACATCTCGAATTTTAAGTTTCGCCTTGTTTGTGTGTTCGATGCTGTCGGCAGACGTACTATGTAGCTTTAGTTCTGAAAAAAGGATCTTCCCTCATATGATATAGGTAAATGAATGATCAGAGTGTTTAGGATATTTTGATTGTTCTGCAGGATCTCAGGTTTTGTCAACTATCTGAGTTTAGTTTGAATATATACTTTTACTCTTCAATGTACTTTTGAGGCAAGATAATGAAGAAATAGCGATTTAACAGAGTTTGGAATATAAGATATATTCGCAGGTTTAGGAGTGAGTGTAAATAGTTTGTGAACAAAAGAAGAAGCGTATCCTTCAAACATCGTGTTTATGTCCTAAGAGCATGTTCTCGGCTTTTTAAATTCATGTATTTGAATTTGAGGGGAAAACACGGAACAGTAAGCTAGATGGTATAAAGTACTTATAAAGAACTGGAATGATATAGATATTTTTCTTATAAAGGATTTTAATCGTTAGTTAAAAGGAAATATAAATTCAAAAAGGATTATTTATTACCTGCATGTTTACCTGCTTGGTTCCTACCTATATCCTCAACGTTTGGTGTTATTTTGGACATCTCAGGCATCACTCCAACCATCTCGTAAGCTTGGTTCATAGCATTTTATTGACCAAATACCCTGCATATTTAAATAAAAAATTGAAAACAGAACCACCCTATTTACTAAGAGTCTTTTTTTTATTACACCCTATATAGAACTTTTAAAATTAAAGCATAAAGTCTATATAAACATGGGTCGAAAAATGCGTGTCTTCCGAAATACAGGGTGTTTAAATTTACTTTCTAAAATAGTTTTTTGAAAATATTTCGAACAATATTTGATGTATAACAGTGAAAATTGGTATACAAGGGTTTTTTGGTACGACAAAACGAACCATGGGCATAGTTTTACTGTAGCCGCTAGAGGGTGCTCTCTACTGTACCTGTAGTGTATTAAAATGACCGAAAATTTTTTCTTAGTGCAATTTTTTACTTTTTGAATAAAAAAACTGATTCTTCGCACTTTTTAACATAAAAAGCTCTGTTGTGAGTTTCTGTTATAGTTAGCCGTTTTTGCGATATTTCGATTTTTAAGGTTCGATGCATTTTTAATTATTTATGGGAAAATAATATTTTTTTTTACATATTCGATTTGGGCATTACAAGTAATTAAGATGATCGTTTGGATTGTGTTTTTAAACATAGCAATAATTCCTAACTCCAAATAAACACAAAAAACAGAATATTAATTTGTTTAATTTTCCAATATTATTTTTAACAAATTAAATTAATTATTTACAACTAAAATGCTATTGGATAGTCAGGACAAACATACAAAATCTAAAGTAGTTGCTCGAAATGTAAACCCAATTGTTCAATACAGAATTCACATGTACAAATGATCGAACGTGGTATAGCATTATTCAAATAAGGCCTTATTTTATCACATGCATTCCTGATTCTGTCTATTAACATATCTCTTGTGGTTAGGGGAGTCTGGTACACTTTTTCTTTTAGAAATCTCCACACAAAGAAATCTAATGGATTTAGGTCAGGGGATCGTGGAGGCCAGACGACTGGTCCTCCACGGCCGATCCATCTTTCTGGATAATTTTCGTCCAGCCAGTTTCTTACTATTCTCGAATGATGAGCTGGACAACCATCAAGCTGGAACCAGGCCAATCTTCTTAGATCTAACATAACATTATCCTACATATTTGCATGTTCAGCCTTTAAAAATTCCAAGAAGGTCGTAGCATTTAACCTTGCAGGCAAAAGGTAGGGTCCAAATAGTCGATTACGGTAGATACCAATCCACACGTTCACACTAAATTTATGCTGAAAATTTCTTTCCTGAACTGCAAGCGGATTTTCATGCGACCAAATATGTTGATTATGAAAATTTACCACTCCACGTCTAGTGAAGCATGACTCATCGGTCCATAAAACGTTACTTAAAAACTTACTATTATTATCAGTTCTATCAAGAATCCACTGACAAAATGTTATGCTTCGTTCTCCGTCCCCTGGCTGTAGTCCTTGCACAGTTTGCAAACGGTAAGGACGTCTATGGTCATTTCTAAGTACACGGTGAACATGGCTTGCTGAAATTCCCAAGGCACCAGAAACTCTCCTAACACTTGTGGTCGGCTCTCTATCAAACTCACGCAGAATCATACGGATAAATCTGCGCTGACGAACATTTATGTTTTGATCCCTTTGGAGATTTCCAAAACCATTTTCAATTATTTGGCGATGCACTCTTACAAATACTGAGCGAGTTGGATATCGTCTGTTTGGAAATCTTAGTGCGTATTCTCTGGCTGCTTCTGCTGCGTTTCGATTTACACAGCCATACACAAAATGAATATCCGCTAACTCTTGATTGGAGAATAAAAATGGCATTTTTATAAAACTTATAAAAAAAAACAGGTACAAGAAACTAAATTTCGTGCATTCACAATTGCAAAAAAACGTTTCAGGTTTCAAGCGACAACAAAACTAACTGTCAACTAATTGACGTTTTACCTTATTCTGCTTTCAATTTCAAAAATATTTGCAGGAACAGCCTACTTCTAAAAATTATCGAGAAAATTCACAAGAGAGCTTTTTTATGTTGAAAAGTGCAAAGAATCAGTTTTTTTATTCAGAAATAAAAAAAAAGCACTAAGATAAAACTTTCGGCCATTTTAATACTCTACAGGTACAGTAGAGAGCTCCCTCTAGCGGCTACAGTAAAACTATGCCCATGGTTCGTTTTGTCGTACCAAAAAACCCTGGTATACCAATTTTCACTGTTATACTATACATCAAATATTGTTCGAAATATTTAAAAAAAACTATTTTAGAAAGTAAATTTAAACACCCTGTATTTCGGAAGCCACGCATTTTTCGACCCATGTTTATATAGACTTTATGCATTAATTTTAAAGGTTCTATCGAATCTTAAAGTTATGCAACAATAAACTGAAACACCCTGTATAATAAGCTTCCTGATAGCTTTAAAGCTTTTTTATCAGCACCACATTTTAAGCCAAAAGTAAAAAATCTTGTTTTTGAAAATCTTTGTATTTTATATCGTCTAGTTGTTAACTCTTCGTTAACTGTAACTTATTTTTTCGGTCGAACTAAAATATTCCCTATTTTTATTCTACTTCATTTACTTAACACAACTGTATGCTTGTTCTCAATTTCCACATGTAAGTTTTAGCATCTTGGTATTAGTTGTGAGTTATGCTTAATAGGTTTATTCACATTGTTTATATTTTTCCCAAATGAATAAACTTTGTCTTCTAATTTTGCTTGGCCCTGATTGGTCTGAAAAGCAGCTTTTAACTGACTCCCGCTAGGTTAAATGAAGGCTATCATTATTACTGTTAGCTTTTTTATCAGCCACATGGCATTTTTCTCCTCATTGCGTACGACAAAGGGTATGGATTTTATCGCAGCTTTTAGGTAAGGACGTTACTTTTCCCAATTCCGATGAACTTCCAAAGTTGCTGATAAAACTCCTTTCTGTATCGTCTTTCAAATATTGTCATTGAGTCCCATTTTCTTGATATTCTCCAGCGGCGATCTTGGGATTACTTCGGTTGATGATAGAATGATTGCGATAACACAGTCCATCTTCCATTGTTGTTTAATTTAAGTTCGATCTCCCTATACTTTGTGACTTTTTCGTTATGCTTTGCATGTATTGTTTGGTATGGCGATGACGATGAAGCTTGTTTTACTCAGTTCCTTATTGACAACAACTATGTCTGCACTGTTATGTCAAGTGTGCTGGTCGGTGAGGACATATCGCTATTATCATTTTTATTATTATTATTTTATATGACTTCTCAAGATGTCTGCTCTAGTGGTAGCATTTCTATGTCGTAACACCTCTTAATGAAAAAGTTGATCTTTTGAAGTCTACAAAGTCTGATTCCAAATCAATAATTTCACGGAAATGTGGCCATACAATTACTTCAGAATCGTATCCACTAAAATAGAGCAAACAGAGTATTCAATCGATTTAGAGCTCTTAATGACACGGCATAATGCCATAATACAGCGAAAAACGGAATCTGTTATTCTGGTATATCGTTATGTCTTCATTCTTTCTATGTCTATTGCTACACTGATGTTGAAAAAAATGATATAATCAGTTACATTGGCTCAATATCTCCATACAAAATTCTGGCCGAGCTCATAGTACGAGGAAGTAGATTACAAAATCTCAAGAAAGTTTTTAAAGATATCAAACTCACAAAGCCTCAGGGATGGCATAGACATGTGTGTCATGCACATAGCTTTGCTTGTACAGACCGAAATCGTCGAGTTAGTGAAACAGATCCAAACAATTAGTCCATAGACACTCCCTGTCCTCTTAGTAGTACCAGCCATCTGGCAACGTCGCTTCTCCCAATACCTGTACGCGAGGCATCAAATGTGGCAGCACGGCACAGCTCCAATCATGCGAGAACACTTACGAAGCCCGGCATGCCGTTTCGTGAAGCCAGAAACATTCTCTATCGTTGTAAGTTTTAAGGGCAAATATACCTGGGTATCTATGATGTGTGAAATATTTATAGCTATATCTGATAGGTGCGAAGAATTACTGTAGCTGGAAGTGTACATTAACATCAAGAAATTGCGAGACTGTCTCCTCCATCACCCACATATTTTACACCTAGAACATTTTTCAAGAATGATGAGGATGAGGTGAAATGTCAGAAAACGACTTTTCAGGGATTTTTTTTTCGGCTTTGGCATTTTTCTCCACCGCCAGTGGATCAATTTTCAAATAACAATAATAATAGACGTTTTTATTTTATTTACAATAAGATTGTAATTCAGATAGTGTGCGACTTGGATGGCGAAATTTAGCGTTTCCTACTCTTACATTTAATCATAAAAGTCTCTAGTAGATGTTAATAGAAGTGAAATATTAATCACAGCAAATCTAAATTTTTGGTAATAAATTATTACAATAAAGCCAAAACTGGCAAAGTAAAAAAAAGCATGATTGTGTAATCGAGTCATCAAAGTAATGATTACATCACCTTTTGTCGAAAAAGTATTCTTTATCCAATTTTGGTATTTAACTATAATATGATGGCAACATTTTAGGAGAAACTGCGTTGAAATAGGGCTGTTGATTACTGAGGTATCTTTACAATTTCATCTCTAAGTTGTCTAGGATGAATATCATAGTTGAATGTCATTTATTTCGCAAGTAAGGCGGTTCAGACATAATTTATAATAAATGGATGAAATCTGAGTAGCGATATTTAACCAATTCATTTATTTTCAACCAACTGAGTATTGGATATTTTGCGGAGTCCAAAAGTAAAAGGAGCACAAGCATTTTGGATGATTTGAATTAGGTTTTTGATATAGCTGTCTAAGTATGGATACTAAACTAAGTGACATATAAATCCGAACACCCAGTTTAAATGGTTTTGTTTTAATAAAATTTTGTATAAGTACTTAATGAAGCATAATAAGTAAATGATAAAAATTTCAAAATGATTGCACTGCTTTAAAGCTCTTTGACCTTTAATAATGTGTGGATGCACCCTGATGTGCTACGCATTCTCCAACGCGCCTAGGCATGCTTCTGATCAGGTAGTCAATGTCCTCCTGTGATATCTCATTCCAGGCAACCGCCAACTCCTCTCGAAGTGCTTCTAGAGTCTGAGGAGGACGTTGCAAATTGAGCAATCTCCTACCCATCATATCCCACACGTGCTCAATTGGGGATAAGTCGGGAGATCTTGATGGCCATGGTAACAATGTGACATCATTACGTTGAAAGAAGTCTATTGTGACTCTTGCAACATGTGGTCGGGCATTATCTTGTTGGAAAGTTGGATCTGCCAGGGTGTCAAGATAGGGTAAAAGATGGGGTTCTACAACTTCGAGGATATAACGCTGCGCGTTCATGTTACCTCTGATGAAGAATAAAGGTGACCTGGAACCATAAGCTATAGCACCCCAAACCATAACTCCAACAGTGTGATGAACATGTCTTTCAACAAAAAACTGTGGATTCCTCCTTTCACCACATCGCCTTCTAACCCTGGGGCGACCATCGTGCATGCCTAAACCAAATCGAGACTCGTCACTAAAGACAGTACTGTTCCATTCCTGATCCCAGAGTGACCGTTGTCTGCACCACTCAAGGCGATTACGTCGGTGTTCTCGAGTTAAAGGGAGGACCCAGTGTGGCCGGTATGAAAACAAGCCAAAATTTCTCATTCGTCGGTAAACACTTCGCATGCCAACAGGTCTTCCGTGTTCTGCAAACCATTCATTTGCAATGGACCTGGTAGTGGAGAAACGGTCCCTTAAGGCCAATAATCTTAGGCGGCGATCTTCACGGTCTGTTGTTCTACGGCGGCGTCCAGTGCCCCTTGCTCTTTGCGTACGGCGTTCTCGAAGCCATGCCTGACAACACCTAACCACAGTGTCTACACTTCTTTGCACTCTAACTGCAATTGCCCGAAAAGAAAGTCCAGCTTCCCGAAGTCCCACTATACGGCCCCTATCAAACTCACTAAGTTGACGAAATCGTAGGTTGATATCCAGATTATGACCAGACGAATATTTGATTGAATTATTATAACAACATTTCGTCAAACTTCTATCGGTACATTCTGGGGATCAAAATAATGTAACAATTGTGTATCGCCTGAGAAAGGTGGGATATATTCAAGGGCTTTGTTCAAACCAAAAGTATATGTCAGAAGTAATGAAGGTCCTAACACAGAGCCTTGGGGTACACCGGAAGGAATTGTAGTCACATGAGAAAATTCTTGATCAATGCAAAAGCACATTGAGTCCTTTGATCAAGGTAACTTCTAAAAAATGAATGAGCTAAGGTGCCAATACCTATGTAATTTAGTAGTAATTCATGATTGATGCTAAAAAAGAGAAATCTATAGATAATAACATTACTGCGATTTTCTTATCTAAGGCTCCCAAAATATTGTCTTGCAAATTGGCAAGCGCGGAGGTTGTGCTATAGTTTTGTCTAAAGCCAGATTGGGTATCATACTACATAGTTTTTTCGTACATAGTAACCTTGTGTAAGAATTTCATCCAAATCCGAGCACTAATTTCCGAATTATACACGGTCAGACCTACAGACGTACACACCGACGGAGATGAGTGACATGGTCTTACGTGATATACCTACATGTGACATAACCTCCAAGAAAAATTGGGCGTGGGAAGGGAAATACGGAGAGGAAGATGCCATGAAAGTTTCCCAGGCATGACGTCTCAACTTTCACGATTGAGTTATTGACTTTAGCGTGCTTTTGGACATAAAATGTTCACAAACTACAGTAATCAAGTTCTGATAACAAACCTTATCTCGTAAAATTCTTCGAAGCTCTGTCTAAATATCTCGTGGGACCAGTCTTCCCCTAGACTTTCTAAACATTTTCTAACCCATCAATCAAGCCGAACCGTTGTCTTCTACAGGTCCCTCGTCATATTATTTCTCGGGCCGAGGCCCAAGGCTGAATTTAACCAAAATATGTAAATGCATAACAGAGTTATTATGGCGAGGCGTTTTACGTTTCATAGTGCCAACTTTGAGTAATCGGATTCCTCTTTGTCGTGGCGTGATACAAATAGGATCTTTTGAGAAAGGTTAAGAGGGGCGTTTAAATATGTATGTATGCTACCGTGAGCATTGCACATCTAGAGGTTCATAGGCAGCGCTATCCTACAAGCGATGTGCATCCAAAAATGCCGTTTCGGATCTGCCAGCAAACGAGTGGAATAGGTGCTTCGAAAATTGGTTTGAGCGAATGCAGATGTGTATTAATCTTCGTGGAGAATACTTCGAAAAAAAAATAAAGTCGTTTAAAACTACCTACCGTGTTTTTCCATATGCAAAACTTAACTTATCCCTCCTATCACATATATATTTTGACGCAGGAGAAGATAATTTAATCATTGGTACATTTTACTTTTACTGCATTATTCATTAAAAATTATTGACTTTTTTCTCAAATATTGAACGTTTCAATTCAAATGCTCTCCAACCACACAGAAACCGCTATCGATCTCATATCTTGGATGTAGAGGATATTTGCTATGTTTTCGATTGTTGTCCTTGAGGCCAACTCAAAACCTTGCTGATGAGTTGACAAAAAGCACGAAACAACTGTCCGTAGTTGGGAGCCTTTCGTCGAATGGATAGAAGCAGCATGTTAGAAACCAGAATTTTTAGAGCCCCTATGCATTTCTTTAGCTATAAAGACGTATATTCAATGTACTAAGGTGTAGGTATGTGTTTCAGAAAAGTGCTATCGATTGGAGTTGCACTTTTTTGAGTGGATGTAGTTTTAGTCACCATTATTGGCGGTTACGATACCAATGCCATATGAAATAAGTAAGCAGAAATGCGTTGTGTAAGAATTAGAATCAGGTTTATTTTGCTTTAGCACTTGTCCGGAAGATTGTATACAATTTTCATTTGCCACCAGGAGATACTGAATCCAAGTGGAAGCCTTGCCTTTGCGAAAGTAAACATACATTTGGTAGCGACGTCAACAAATTACAGTTATACACTTGACAACAATCGCCTTTAGGAGCCAGTGTTGCTACCTCTAGGACTATCGCCACAAGTTATGCGATTTCCTTTTCCGTTGTTGAACCTCCTAGCGATGCGAAATCTCGGAAATGCAAAGAAAATTGAAACGTTAACTTCTTGCTCAAAGAAAAATATGCTTGGACCTTCACACTTCTTGTTTGCTTACTAAAGCATTACGCATTAAGAATTCAGCATAACTTCCAGAAAGTCGTCTTGCTGTTGGACGTTATATATGCTGCGGCCTGCCGTTCCTCAACCGACACAACGGCGTCTTGACCGCCAAAACAAAAAATTGGAAGAATAGAAAATTGGACGGGAGCTTCTAGCCTTTATTCATGTCTCCTAATCCGAGAAAATTAGAGAAGCAATCTCTATTCGAAGGGTCATTGCTCATTGGCAGTTAAAAAATCTGTTAATGTAGCTTCTGAAAAAAATTAAAAAGAGGCATATCAACTTGATATATAGTTATTACATTATCCACGAAAAAAAACACAAATATTTTACAACGTTAACATGCTTAACAGGTTATGGCCCAGTCACCCTTACGTGAATACTTCATATACATATATATATATATACATATATATATTTATATATATATATATATATATATATATATATATATATATATAGGGTACAAAATACAATTACTTGTTAATTGGGAAATTGGCAAAACTTTTAGGCTTAAGTTGACTCTTTTGACGATAAAATCAGGCTTTCGGCATTCTCTATGGAGCCTTTATCAGAATTCTGAAAACGCAATTGTGATGCTAGCAAAGAAAACAGGACAGATTTAAGATGTCAGACAACTTACTCGTCGGTGAGGTTGCAGCCACAAGGTGTTTCAGAAAGAACGTAGAGAAGATCGAACTTGTGATCAGTATTAAAACAAAGTATGATCATAGATAGATTTTGCCATACATTTCCACTTAACACTGAGGATAACTCACGACGACTATATCGTAACGCTGTCTAATGGGTAGGGGCTAAGCAGCGATTTTTCTTAGACATGCTCGTAGTTAACCTTTTTCTATCATCTTTCCCGTTTATCTATAACAGAGCCACCACTAACGCTACCCTTTTACTTTCCAGGACATCCGCGATCAATTTCTTACACAAAGAAAGTGACAAATATTAGCCCAAAATGAAAAACCAAATACGACCACACCTCTTGATCCTGGTGACACTCACAATCCTTTGCTCGAGCAAAGGTCTCTCCATCTACCCACCTCGAAATGGAGACCCGGCACCAGGAAGGTCCCCAGGACCACCATCAGACGTCCTTCAGGACATCAAGCTTCAGGATGTTAACCCACCAGAAGACCTTCAGGATATAAGCTCCTCCGAAGTTCTCCAAGGATCAGAGGAACTGGAGGACGTAGCGTCTCCAGATGTAATGCAGGAGATACGAGTGGATACGTCGTCCCAACAGGAAGAAACTTCGCAGGAAAAAGAAATCAGCGACTCCAAACAAAAAGATGGTAGTGATGACCCGTACACGAACAGTATGGAAAAGGAATTGTGTGAAGTGAGTGGTTCAGTGGTTGAAGAAGATAGAGATAGGATGGTCAACTTCACCATATCTCATCATCTCTTCAGAGTGGATGAAGTTGTACCCGGTGTTATATATAATGGTAAGTTTGTCACCCATTTTCAGAATGATAGCATGACAGTCCGAGCAAATTAAGTTTTCAGTTTCCAAAATTTAAGGGAGGATGCTCATCATTGGTATCTCGCTTAAATGGGAACAAACCTGCGTGTTCCCTCCTTCTTAGTCTATCAAATTCATGTTCAACTTGAGGTATGTTCTTGTATACGAAGCAAATAGCTGTCCGATAGTTTCAATTCAGTTTCAATATGCAATTTTGTTTTTCTGGAATAACTGGGAAATAACTAAAGTTTGGCAATTTCGACGTATGACATATCATACATTTTTGAGATCGGAATTACACACTCTATTCTCCTGTGCAATAATCCAATATTGCGCTCATAAGAAAAGATAGAATTGGTGATAAATTAAAGAGGAGACGTCATATTGAAATTCTAATTATACCATCACTTAGAAGAGTGAGAGTGGTAATGTCAACAGGCAATTTCTTTTGAAATTGCACTACAAATGAAGTCAGGAAAAAATAAGACTATTTTGGGAGAGTTCAGTCTCTCGACGGAAGTAGGTACTTCGAATTTTGAATCCTTCTGAGCAGCAGTATATCAGTTACCTCAATAGGTAACTTTGATCCCACTTAAGTGATTTCGTATCCCTTACCGTTTCCGGGATCGCAATGACGAGGTTAGAATTTGTAACACCCTGTATATAAAAGTCATATAATAATAAACACTGTTATTAAAATGCACTAAAATGCAACAGTTTGCATTTTGCTGGTTATTTCAATGATAGCCAGAATCAGTTATTTGGTCTTATTATGGAAATTGAATATGAAAAATACGTTCTATAGGAAAGTTTCGTAGTTTTTTATTACGTTTTCAAAAGAAAAAACTGTTAAATATGAATCGTGTCCGAGATTCGCAGCCATTCCATCGTCATCTTGAATATGCATTATGTTGATTTTCCTGAGCTTCATTTCTGTCTGGGAATATCTTTATTATCAGATAACTAAAAAAGTGGAAACCGATAAACTACATCGTTAGCTCTCATTATTTGTTACAACCAAAATTTCCTCCCATATCTACAAGTACTATTCTGTGATGCGCGAGTTAATTTCGTGCTGTAATACAACTATTTAGAAATATTTTGAGTAATGTAAGCGTATAACTGAAAGCAGATTTCGACAATTCTTCATTTGAAAAGTATTCTTTCTTAGACATACTGTATATTATTTGAATATCATCCTTACGTTTTACTCCTCAAGATAGTATGAATGAAGTCCGCATGACTCTTAAGTGGATATTAAGCAATTTGAAAAAGGCTTTCGAAATTTTCATCAGTTCGTTTTTTTGCTGTACTCGCCATCTGTGGTTGGTTATGCTTCAGTAGACGTAAAGCAACCCTTGTCATTTTAGCCTCCGCTTAAAGGTCACTTACCCAAGTTTTGTATATTATCATCGATCCTATTACTTATCTGGTCAATTTGTCTTTCATAACTGGAATAATTGCCTGAACCCTTGAAGACAAGTACACTATAACAAAGGCGACATCCAAGATGGTCTTCTGGTAATAATTAAATACATATTAAATAGTATTGCTCAAGGATACAGTATTGGTTGTTCAGAATTTAAGAGCTTGTGGCGCTAACTTTGAACTGGGATCATAAGTACCAGAAGGATTTTGATACATATTCTGTTATAGCCACGTTGTAGCAACATCATATGTTGTTTTGTCAAGTAGAACACCTCGAGAATATTATTTCATACCAAAATCTATTGATCTAATTGCTGATTTGGAATAGATTCGTCTAGAGACACCTGCCAACCATATTCTCTGTAAATATGTCATCCCTCACCTATGCCATCATCAAGGTGGCCTTTCTACGATCCTGCTATTTTACTACTAAATAAACTATAACATGAGTGTGATTATTAATACGATCCAGAGAGGGTTGCCATCGATATTTTCTGCAGTTCCCCTCAAGCTGCCGAACGAGACATATAATTTCTCATCCATGACAGCTCAATATGTTAAGTGAGAAGTACGCGGGACATTTCCATAAAAATGGCCTACTATTTGTATACCTGGATCGTGTAAGGGTATACCATTAATCATGGTTTCTTTTCTGTCCAACGGAATGGAAAATGTCCCGGAAATTTCATTTCGAGTCGATAATCCATTTCTTCCACTGACCTGAAAATACTTGGATCGCATATTCCTGGGATTGCAATCGATTTTCAGCGGGTCGCGAAAATTTTATTTTTGGTTGTCTAAAAATATATTTAAGGGCAAGCGAGGGGTAATTTTTTGTTACTTGAAGTCGTGTAGAATGAAATTAAGCAAACATTCAAGATAGTAGGTACTAATTGCGGTCCAGTATAAACAGTAGTATGCAAAATTAGATCGCTCAACTGTCCATCACATCTTAGGCCTTCCTTCAGAAATATACTAAGTGACATATAAATCCGAACACCCAGTTTAAATGGTTTTATTTTAATAAAAGTTGGTGAATGTATTTATCTTACTGTAAATAACAAGTGAAACATTTTTCAGCCTTAGTTGCACATCCCGGTTTTTATACTGCTATTTTTTAATTCACTAACGCTCTAAAAATGAATATTTCAGCCGTAGTAAAGAATCAACGTTGGCGGATTTTGGTTCTTGACATCCTTTACGATTGGTTACGATGCCTAGAGTACGGAGACCTGTACGATTTCGTCAACTTAGTGAGTTTGATAGGGGCCGTATAGTGGGACTTCGGGAAGCTGGACTTTCTTTTCGGGCAATTGCAGTTAGAGTGCAAAGAAGTGTAGACACTGTGGTTAGGTGTTGTCAGGCATGGCTTCGAGAAGACCGTACGCAAAGAGCAAGGGGACTGGACGCCGCCGTAGAACAACAGACCGTGAAGATCGCCGCCTAAGATTATTGGCCTTAAGGGACCGTTTCTCCACTACCAGGCCCATTACAAATGAATGGTTTGCAGAACACGGAAGACCTATTGGCATGCGAAGTGTTTACCGACGAATGAGAAGTTTTGGCTTGTTTTCATACCGGCCACACTGGGTCCTCCCTTTAACTCGAGAACACCGACGTAATCGCCTTGAGTGGTGCAGACAACGGTCACTCTGGGATCAGGAATGGAACAGTATTTATTTAGTGACGAGTCTCGATTTAGTTTAGGCATGCACGATGGTCGTGCCAGGGTTAGAAGGCGACGTGGTGAAAGGAGGAATCCACAGTTTTTTGTTGAAAGACATGTTCATCACACTGTTGGAGTTATGGTTTGGGGTGCTATAGCTTGTGGTCCCAGGTCACTTTTAATCTTCATCAGAGGTAACATGAACGCGCAGCGTTATATCCACGAAGTTCTAGAACCCCATCTTTTACCCTATCTTGACACCCTGGCAGATCCAACTATCCAACAAGATAATGCCCGACCACATGTTGCAAGAGTGACAATAGACTTCTTTCAACATAATGATGTCACATTGTTACCATGGCCACCAAGATCTCCCGACTCATCCCCAATTGAGCACGTGTGGAATATGATGGGTAGGAGATTGCTTAATTTGCAACGTCCCCCTCAGACTCTAGAAGCACTTCGAGAGGAGTTGGTGGTTGCCTGGAATGAGATACCATAGGAGGACATTGACCACCTGACCAGAAGCATGCCTAGGCGCGTTGGAGAATGCGTAGCACATCAGGGTGCATCCACGCATTATTAAAGGTCAAAGGGCTTTAAAGCAGTGCAATCATTTTGAAATTTTTACCATTTACTTACTATGCTTCATTAAGTACTTATACAAAATTTTATTAAAATAAAACCATTTAAACTGGGTGTTCGGATTTATATGTCACTTAGTATAGTTAGTGGCACCATTGTATCGTTAGAGACCAACGCCGAATACTTGGCGGTAGGAATGAACCTTGATACCAGGTTCAAGCGGAAGCAGTATTTTAGAAAAAAGAGGGAACGATCGAACCTCCACTACGACCAATATCACTCTGGTTACTGGGAAGATCCTCAGAACTATCGATCCATAATCATGACAATGAGATCTTAAAACCTTTGTAAGGTTGTCCACTATGTGGCGGTTCCAAGAGTCCGAACACTGAAGTTATCCATAGATCCCAAAATAAAGTTCTGAAGAACATGATCAGTGCCGCTCTGGTTATCGATAAGATCTAGGAAGCAGCGACCAGTCATCAAGAAGGGCTGCATTGATACTCCCATGCAGATGCTCTGCCGGACAATCACAGTGCTGATGACACAGGAAAATTAGATCAGATCGATCAGTTCTAATATTAGGCCATCATAGCCGCTGTAAAAACAAAAAAAAACGTCTCAGGCCACATTTATCAGACATTGGATTGTAAACGAACAGTAGCCCACCCTTAAACTGCCTTAAAGTGGAGAGTCAACATTTTGCTTTTCCCAGAAGGCTGCTTGCTATAGTTGTCAACGAAGGCTTTCAACATTTTAAAAATTTTCAGCAAGCTTTTGAATTTTTCAAAATTTCAATATTTATAGTACTCTCGGCAATTTCAAAACTTGCAAACTTTGTGAGGCCCTTAAAATACGCACTAATTCCAAAGTATTCAACTTTTTCGATTTTTCGACGCTTTTGATTTCCTGAGAATTTCAAAATTATCGTTAATCCCTATCTTTATCTGCAACCGGCGGGTGGCAAACAAGATGGCTCTAAGTGTGAAAATACTAAATTAACATCCTAACAAAAGTAATACGGTCTTGTATGAAACCAAAAATCACAAACGTCAGGTCAATTCCCAATTACTTATGAGCTACTCAGTGTCAGTGTTAACTGCTTATTTGTGATAAGGCGATAAAGAATTTCTATATTTGCTATGTCTATTCGCTCGTTACCGACTCCAATCAGAGATGTACCTAATGTCTTATGGTGATAGTTTTTATGACTCCATCGAATTCCTGGCTAAGGCACCAATTCGGCTATTGTGAAATATTAAGATATTTATTTGCCAATTAATTTAACCTCCGTCTTATGTCGTCGGACAGAGAATTTTGCCCTGTTCAGGAGCTCCAATGCGATGTCGTATAAAGTAGGTAGTGGTTCATATTTTTGAATTATTGACACATATTCCCTCGAACTTCTTATTGATTTCTATGTATGCGGTTTCCCTTTTTATTTTCGCGGCTGCTATGAGGAGCTTAAGGAAACTTTGTCGATCCTATTTTAGAGCTACCCAAGGTTAGTGGTAACTAACTATTCGTCATTATTCGTCTGAGCGGTCCGGAGGACCTTTGCTCTTAGTTAAAAGTCTCGTCGGTCTGTTAGTCGGTCAGGTATGGCTACCCAGACACCAAACATGTTTAAGGGGAAAAGGGAAAGAAGGAAAGAAAGGAAGGAAGAAATAGAGGAAACAAAAGAAGTAAATCATTTGAAATAGCTTAAGCATTATTGCTTTGACTACTCGAATTATTTTGTAGCTTCAAGTACTAATTTTGATCGGTTAGGTATACTGAAATAATTTTGGCTGGTCTGAATTTACAATTTAATTTTGATCACAGTGCGAGGCGCGGCCTAGAATGTTTGCGAACTTGCTCGTCTGTGTAGTCTACTGAATCACGCAACAGAGGGTTGCTGTACGATTCGGCTTGATTATAACGCCGCTACGCCTGTTGTTTTACATAATCCCTAAGATATGGGATATCAAGATCTCTGTAAATGGTCTCATTTGACACGTACCGAGGGGCGTTAGTAATTGTGCGTAGGGTCCTGTTTTGCTTGTCAATGATGACTCACAAGATACCTGACAGATTGCTCCCATGGTATATGAGTTCCATTCACTGATATCTCTGAGGGGGCACCGCGACGTTTTTCAGTACAATAGATTGCCTGCGTTTTAGAAGTATTAATTTTAATCAACCACCGATCCGCCCACTCCAATACTTCCTCCACCGCACTCTGCAGCCTGTCGTGAACCAGGATACCAGAACAAGATTGGGCTAGCCGTGCAGTCTCGTTAGCATAGAGATGACTTCACAGTTGCTGGGGCAAGGGACGTCATGTATATAAAGTGAATAAAGGATTCGTCCTAAAACCGAACCCTGAGGAACACCGGCTCTTACGGGCCATGTTGTTGACAACATATTGTTAATTATTATCCGAAACTTCCTTCCTTCTAGAAAAGATTTCAACAGTTTTAGTAGCCAAAACGGAAAATCCTTTTTGGATGAGCTTATACAAGAGGCCCATCTGCCACACCTTGTCAAATGCCTTTGATACATCTAAAAGCAAGTTACCAGTACTTTTGTTCAGGGTGAACCCCTGGTTACATGCTCCACCAGTCTAACTGACTGTAGCTCCGTACTATGCTCAGACCGAAAGCCGAATTGCACTTCAGGAATCACATGGTGATCTGACGAGAAATTGTCAAGGTGACGATAAATCACCTTTTCAGCGAGCTTAGAAGGAGATGACAGTAGACTAATGGGACGGTAATCCTGGGGGAATATCGAACCTGCCTTCTTTGGGATCATGATGACTTCAGCGTTCTTCCACGCCTTATGAAAGTAATGAGTTCTAAGTATTGCATTGATTATTGCCACCAGATAAGTCAAAGCCTTGAGCGAGAGCAACTTCAGTGCTTTGTTGGTGATTTGATCCTCTCCAGGTGCTTTTCGTACCTTTAGGTCCTTAATGTGGCCTTGGAGCTCTGCTGGTGTGCAAAACGGAATCTCGGAGGATTCCGTCGATGTGCTATGCTGAGATTCATCTGAAAAGTCTTCCGTAGAAGGATCTTCTGAAAAGGAGTGACCGATGTTAGCACTGATGTTGTTATCGCCATTCGCTCTGAAATATCTCCTGTCAGATTTTACAATTTGTCGTTTCTCGTCAAGGTCATTGTCCAGATCATAATTGGGGGAGAACTGCCTTTCCATGACGTCAGCAAGAACCTCCACTTCCGTTTCTGAGCGACTTTGCAACTTTCCAGAAAATAATACTTGATTTACGAATCCCCGCCAAAACGTCGCTCCACCGCTGATTGCGGAATACATGGAGTGCATTTCTCACTTCATGGACGAGATTCGTCGCTCTACGAATGTCATCAGGATGACAAGACCTTTTTGCTTGCTCAATCGCAGCCCTCTTTTCAGAAATTTTCCGACGAACGTCAGCAGAGAGAAAAGGTCTGCCTTGTCGCTGTATCGGAAGCACAGCAGCACGTTGTAGAGTTTGGTGAACGAAACTTGTCCACTCCGATTGAGCAGCATCAATTCCGTTCTCATTATGAATGACCGGGACGCTTGGAAACTCTTTGAGAAATGACTTGTATAGTTCCCAGTCAACTCTTTCCCATAGAGGAGTTTCCTCCTCCACGACATGCCCATTACCTACCTCCAGAACAACATGGAGATGGTCACTAGAGATGTCATATAAGATCCTGGAAGCAATACTGAACCTACAGCTCTTAGATATTGCAAAGTCTCTAACACCCGGTGCCTGAAGGTGACTGAAAGGATGGTGTGTCGGCTCTTCGGTGCTTTGAATAAGATACCCGTTTCCCATCACATGGTTGTAAAGCCGAACCCCACAATTACAGTTAATCCTTGAGTGACATGATCTGTTTTTGCATGACTGGATGAGCTTATACCTCAGTTGCTTGACGTATGCTAGGAGATCTCCCGTGGTTAGCCGGTGCATGAAACCATCCTATTGAAACCTTGGAAGACTCTACATATTTCGAAATTGACTTGTTTTATAGTCCTTGTCCATCCGACATCATGAAGTACATCTTTATTGAGTCTTTCAAACATTATACTGCATGTACCGCTTATTCGGCCTCAATAGGGTAAAAGGAGGAGAGATGGACCACATTTTAAAACACTTTAATAAAAAAACAACAAAACTAAAAAAATATGTATCTTAACTTAACATTGGTATTCCTTTTGGTATAGATAAAAACTACAAATATCAATTCATAGAGCTAAAAAAAATATACAGGGTGACTTTGAAGTTGAGTCATTAATTTTCAGATAATGATTGTAGAAGGAAGATAAACCAAAATATGTGTGTAAAAATAAAAAAAAAATAAAAGAAAATGTTACCTTGTTTAATAAAGTATCCCCCCGACAAGTATTTCAGTGCGGACCTGTATTTGATCGTGCGGTCTTGGAGCAACATGCCCTCACCTGTGAGGTCTTAAGTCACCTGATTCACGAGCCCTTTGCACTACATTAACAAAGGCACGAGGGGTTGGTTGCACTCGATTGGGAAACCGATTCGCATAAATCCGTGATGCATCCGGGAGCATTTTGTAAAGACTGCCCCCCCCCGTAAATAAGAATCATGTCCACAAGTTCAGCATTTTCGTAAACATGTGCCATTTTTGATTTCGTTTGAGCCACGCAACACACTACTATTCACTCAGGATTTATCGACTGACGAAAAACATCGTGATAAACGTTTCAAATTCTTTCGCTTTTTTGTTTCCGATGCGATGAACCGGTCAGGCGGATTATATCCGTTGTCGCCAAACACGAGCATATAATAGGCAGGGCGGTACTCAAACTTCCAAAGGGCTATAACTTTGTTACTTTAATTTTACCAGAAAAATGGTAAAGGAAAAAAACATTTCTTTTGATCAGATCTACTCACTGTTAAAATAAATGACTCAACTTCGAAGTCACCCTGTATAATGAGAGGTATGTCATTGGTCCATCTATCCTACCGTGTGGCGGTAAGATGGACCACTAGGGGTAGGAGAGATGGACCATGCTAAGATTTCTTCTTTTTGGAAGCTACAGACTTTCCACACTTATTACAAAGGTTAACGAAGCCAGTACAAGTTTCATGTAACCAACGCTTACAAAAAATACATTGTAACCAGTCGTCTTGTTTACATGTTTGGCGATAGTCCTCCTTGCATCCGACACACTCATTTTCTAAATCACTGAAGTCTACGGTTTCTCTCGCAATTGAGGTGTTTTCCGATTTCCTGATTGAAATTTCCGGTCTTCGCTTTAAAAATAGTACTAACCATTTTCGGCAAGCTTTACCTAAAAAAATCGATAATTTGTAACAACAATGTGTGTTTCATATTTTTAAAATTTACCTTTTTTTTGATTAAATTTATTTGGGATCCCCATTCGCTGAGCTAAATTAAACGCCATGATTTTTACTTCAGTTCTGGTGGGCGCAAAGCCTGCCTTTTGCAGTTTCTTGATGTGATTAACAATTTTAAGTTCGGCATTCGAGCCCAAAGAACAATCCGGGCCCAATCGATCATTCTTATCAGTGTTGTTTGCTATTAACCGATGCTTGAAAGTTGTTTTGGGTATCCCAAATGCTTTGGCGGCTTCATTGATGCCCATATCGCCATTCTTCACAGCATCTACTGCATCACTTAAAGCCCTAGGGGACCAAGAACCCCTTTTCGATGTGCTTTGTTTACGGATGTATTTATTGGGCATAGTTCTAAAACAAAATATACCTGTTAACTCTCCTCCTTTTAAGTGGTCCATCTACCCTCAAATAGGAGGGTAGATGGACTAGTCCCTAGCATCTAAAATATGCAGATTAAAGCTACAATTGGCACTCTATAGTATACCTTATATATATATATATATATATATATATATATATATATATATCTAAATAGTGAATAAAAAAAAATCGGATAAACCTACCTGATTTTTATAAAAAACAGGTTTTCAAAACTCTGATAAAATTTTAACATGTGGTAAATTCAATTATCGTAAATAACATTCGCGTAGGCGGGCGATGATACCTTCTATACTACAACTATTTAAAACTGTAATGACTCATACGCGTGATCAACACGTGATCAGAGCTCCATCCCGGCTTCCTTCCAGTACAGCCGTATAGCGTACGACATATGTCGTTTCTGTGGCTTTGCGGTGGTCAAAAGCACAGACAGAGATGGAAATAATGGCTGATTGTTCTCCGCCGGTAGAACCAATGAAATCAAAGACGCGCCTCGACCGGCAGACTCATAGGCGTCGGCAACGCATTGGAACGTGTTTCGTTGAGCGATCGCATATTGTGTGTTTTTATAAGAACTGTTGTGTGATTGTTATTGTTGTGGTTTCTGTGGTTAGTGTTTTGGTTATACTTAACCATGGAGAGTACAAATGGCACGAGTGGAAGTACTGAAAGCCAGTGAACAAGTAAACGGGTTCGTAAAGCACTGAAGAGGGACGCGAAAGAAATCGTGCTCAACGTGTTCAATTATCTGAACACAACTATGTCGCAGGGAGATACACTCGCGGGTTGTGAAAGTATGACAGGCGTTCCAGAGTGGACCATTCGCAGGGTGGTGCATGAAAAGAAGAAAACTGGAGCTACTACTGATCCAAAGTTTAATTTGAAGGGACGAAAGGCCGTTAAATTGGATGAGGATAGCAAAATGGCGTTAAGGCGAACAGTACATTCATTCTTCTTTGAGAATGAGATACCAACCCTCAAGGCTGTACATGCAGCGATCAAGGAAAATGAAATTATACCCCAAATGAGCGTCGAGGTAATGAGGAAATCCCTGCATGAAATTAATTTTCGTTATGATACGCGTAATCGGAAGTCAGTATTGATAGAGAGACCTGAAATAGTCGCCTGGCGTCGAAAATACCTACGCGAAATGATTGAATATAGGCGACAAAGCAGAAAAATCTATTATTTGGACGAGACATGGGTAAATGCAGGTCACACAGTTAAAAAAACCTGGATAGACAAAAACGTAGTGAGTAACCGACAAGCAAGCATTGAAGGTTTGTCAACAGGTCTTCGTGGACCGTCAGGGAAAGGTCAAAGATTGATCGTAACTCATATTGGTAGCGATAGTGGCTTTTTAGAAGAGTGTGACTTGATTTTCGTCTCTAAGAAAGGAGGTGATTACCATGACGAAATGAATGCCAGCTGCTTCGAGAGCTGGTTTCAACGGGTGCTTCAGCGAGTGAGCCCAAATCTGTGATCGTCATGGACAATGCTTCCTACCATAGTCGTCGAGCCGACTATGGGATCTCGAAAGAGTGACATGCAGCAATGGTTGCGCGAAAAAGGAATCCCGTTTGACGATTCATGTGTGAAAGCGGAATTGTATGACAAAATTAAACAGCACAAACCTGTGAACATTAGTTACGTGACTGATGAGATGGCTCGTCAATGTGGTGTCACTGTGCTGCGGTTACCGCCTACCACTGTGAACTGAACCCAATAGAGCTCATCTGGGCTCAAGTGAAGGGTTATATTGCGCGCCATAACACAACCTTCAAATTACCAGACGTTAAGGTTTTACTTGAGACTTCCATACAGCTAGTAACGCCCGAAGCTTGGCAGAATGCTATCCGTCATGTTGTGAAGGAAGAAACAAAAATGTGGCAGCTTGACCACCACATCGACACCATCATAGAGCCAGTTATAGTCAATTTCAACGAGGAAAGCGATAGCGACAGTTTATTACTATCAGATGTAAGTGGAAGCGACGATGAATAAAGGTAATTTCCAAATTTTTGACTTACAATATGTTTCAAACCACTCTTTATTAAGCATGTGACAAATCTAGTTCACCCATGTTAAACATTCATACTCTGCCTATGAACAGCCGACTACTGGTAGTTAAGTGATGTTCACGTGAACATCGATGAGTCATTACAGTTTTAGATAGTTATAGTATAGTTGCCAAACCTTGCCGGATATTTTCGGTGGACCGTCTATCCTCCTGGTCCATCTCTCCTCCTTTTACCCTAAATATTCACAGTACAGTAAAACGATTAAAAGGTCAGAAACAGTTTACGATACTAATCTCTTTTTCCAAATATTATAAGTATCCGGTAAGTGAGGTTAATTTACTGTTCAACTACCATAATTCGAATAGCATTTCCATATAAACAGCCTCCTTCTGGGACCTCTTGAAGCGAAATCTCTCATTGCATTCCATTGATTGGATAAACTACACATCGTAGCCTAGGTGCAGGGAATATTCAGCAGTGTGTACTTACGTCACGGCAAATTAATCTTTAACCGGAACTCGGCGAGAAGTTTGAAAGGCAGCATTCTAATTAGACCTCTCGGAACTTTCGTATCCTCCTGGAAAGCTGCCTAACATAAACAAGGAGTTATATAATTGCATGTGTGTAACAACGAGGATTACAGTAAAGCCAGAATTTGCTCAGAGTCAGGTTGACAACCATGAAATTTGAATCGGTGCCAAATATTCAACTTCAGCCTTTAGATAAGGAGCATCCAGCCAAACAAGTTTTTCTCTGCAATATCAGAGTTTCTAAGCACAATACACAAGGCACGTCTTGGAAGAGGGGCTCATGGAATAACGAAGTTAGTTCAGTTACGAGTACCTCTGAAATTAACAACAGTCTTTATCTGAAGTCACTTGAAATAGCATGAAAACCTTTGGTCGGCGCGTCCTTTGTAATTTCATGACGTGCGGTCATTTATTTAGAACGATAATAATAATGTTTTTATATCACAATAAATGGATTGTACTATCTTCTTATTTTTTTTTGATTTGGGATAAAAAATACTTATATTGGGAGTTTAATTTATGTTGACTGAAAGTTAAGAAATGGAAAAATTACAGAATTCCAACGTTTGACATAGGCAAATATTTACGTAGCAGGTAGGTATATAAAAAGGTATATAAAGACTTACATTATAGGTATTTATATATCATCTTCGCCTTCGGAGCTGTCGCTAGAGTCATCTTGTAGAGGAATTACAACGGGATTTACAGGAGGCAAAACACAATATTCATTTTCTTTTTCAATAATATGCCTAGAACACTGGTTCCACAGGTCTGTGGCAGCAATATGAGATACTGCATCTCTTATTGTGGCCAATAGCGATCTACTTAATTGAGGGGTCTGATTATGTTTTCTTACTTTTCTTACCCAGACCAATCAATCGGGTTAAAAATGCAGTAATAGGGAGGTACACGTAATACTTCATGGCCATTTTGCTGAAGCAGATTGTCAACAACATACTCTTTTTCAAATTTTTGTCTTTTAATAAGATCCAATAATATGGCTTTGGTTGATTTTTGTGGTATTTCCATTCCCTTATCCCTCATAAAATCAATAATGTCTTGTTTTTTTGTGCCTGTATTCGGAATTTTGTTTTTCTGTAGGGAATGGTATGGCTCATTGTCCATAATAATCACTGAATTTGGGGAAATGTTTGGTATTAACTGCTGCTCTATCCACTTTTCAAATAAGTCGGAGGTCATGTCCTCATGATAGTCGGCACATGATTCTTTGATATTTTTGGCAGATAACAGCAAGGCATTAGGTATAAATCCATTTTCACTGCCAGCTTGAAGAATAATGATTCGTTTTCCACGGTTGCATGGTGCATTTAAAATGCACTTGTTGCTGTCGTCAACCCAGCCGTACTGCACAACATCATGGGTATCATACCACGTTTCATCCAGGTAAATCAGATTTCTTTTCTGCTCTCTATAGATTTTAACTTTGTGCAAAAATTCTTGGCGCAATTCAACGATTCGAGACGACTCCATAATCACCATTCTTTTATCTATTTTTTTGTATTGAAAACCACACAGTTTTACAATACAGTGCAGTGAGTCTAAGCATTTGTAATTATAAAAATCTTCAGGATAATCTTTTAATTTATCCCGTATCATTTCCAACGTGGGCACCAAATTTTCTTTATAAAATCCGTATATTATACGACGAATATCTTCCTGAAAACCCACGTCTATTCTTTTTAATTTTTGCCCTATGCGCTTTCTGTGGAAGGAATGGTTGACTACATCTCCCCTTTTTATAACCCGATAAATGGTAGACCGACTGATTTTTGTCAGGATACAAATTCTGTTTAAAATTTGATTTTGCGAGGAATCTGGATTTTCGTTTTTCAGACAATCATACATATTTAGGATTACTCTTTGGGTCTGTTCCTCTAAATCTTTATGAAAGAATTCTGTCTGCACAGGTTCATCAACCATCTCCTCGTGGCTTGGAGCATTTTCCCAAGGTCTCCAAAGAGCCATATTTAGGGCACACAAGAACAATCAACACAACAATTAAATCGACAAGTAAACTGAGTATTCAAAAGTCAAAAACACACAAACTAATAAAATCTATGAAAAAACACGGACAGACTAAAGAAAACACGTTTATTCACCGCTACACGGCACTGGCTAAACTGTTTCAATTTTCAGTAGCCACCTGCACTTGTTCGGAGCTCTGAAATACACGCTTTCTCATTGGCTATGTCCACGCATAGGCGTGCTTTACTCCACGTGGACCGGTGAAACTGCCTTTGATCTTATACGGGGGATATTTGCTGCGAAATTTGGCGATTTTTGCAACAACAGAGCGTGTTAAATATAGATATATAAAACGCACCCGGTATTTCACAGTCTTTCAAGTGACTTCAGATAAAGTATACCTCTAAAATTGATCAGGGGATGTCAGAA